CATCCCTGTCCCCTTGTGCCATTCCGTGTCCCCCACCTCTGCTGTCCCCTGTCCCTGTCCCCATCACTGTCCCCCTCCTGTCCCTGTCCCTCACCCCCCACCAGTCACCTTTGGGGTGACCCCTAGGCACCTCCATCTCCTGGGTGGGGTCTACGGGTGGCCTGGCTGGGACAGGGGGGTCCCTTTGGGTCCCTTTTTGGGGTCTCTTTGGGGTGGTGGTGGTGTCGCTGCCGCGCTGTCCCCTCGCCTTTAACCCTTTGTTTTCCCTCTGCTGCGCTGCCCCCGCAGAGCTCAGAAGTAAGTGCCCCCCCTCCCCTGCCCCCCCAGCTTTGCATGGGCTCTGCCTTCACATTTGGGGTAGGGAGGACACCCCAAAAACCCGGGGGGGGGCTGATTTGGGGGGGGAGGGGCTGAGCTTGATGGAAGGGGCTGCACGTTTGGGGGAGGGGCTGCATGGGGGGAGACAGAGGTGACAGAGGTGACAGCACTGCCGGGGGGGGGGGTCACAGAGCTCCTGAGGGGGGTGACAGTGCTACCGGGTGGGGGGGAGGACACCACGCCTGCAGGGTGACAGCTGCCAGGGGGTCATAGCGCTGCTGGGGGGTGACAGTGCTGCCGGGGGTGTCCCCAAGCCTGCCATTGTCCCCTCAGGCTAAGGAGTGTGAAGATGGAGCAGCGCAAACTCAACGACCAGGCCAACACCCTGGTGGACCTGGCCAAGGTGAGCTCCTTCCAAAAACCCCATTGTTGTGGGGTCAGACCAGCTTTGAACCCCCCATTTTTATGGGATCAGCCCCTCCCTAAACCCCCCCTTTTTATTGGGTCAGACCCAGCTCCTACCACTCCTTGTTTTTATGGTATCAGCCCCCCTGACCCCAAAAACCCCATTGTTATGGGATCAGCCCCCCCTGAATCCCCCTGTTTTTATGGGATCAGACCCTCCTCAAACCCCCCATTGTTTTGGAGTCACACCCATCCCTGACCCCCAACCTCCCATTTTTTGGGGTGGCACTGATCCCTGCCCCAGACCCCAATGTTTCTGGGGTCTCGCTGACCTGTGCTCCCACAGCCCTGTTGTTTTGGGGTCCCCCTGACCCCAACCCCCATTGCTGACACAGTCGGTTATGCCTGACCCCAAACCCCTGTTGTTATGGGGTTTCGCTGCCCCCAACCCCCATGTTTTAGGGTCTCGCTGCCCCCAACCCCCATTGCAGACACAGTCGCTGACCCCTTCCCCCAAAGTCCCCCTATTTTTGGAGTCCCCCTGACCGTGCCCCATTGCAGACGCAGTCGGTGATGCTGGAGCTGCTCTCGGAGCTGCAGGAGCGCCACGAGGAGCTGGGCCGACGCCTGGGGGCCCTGGAGGTGCAGCTGGAGGCACTGGGGGGGCTCCTGCAGGCGCTGCCCGCGCTGCTCGGCCGCACCCTGCGCCAGCCGCCAGCCTGGACAGCCCCGGGGACAGCCCCGGGGACAGTCCCAGGGACAGCGGGGACACCGCGGGACACCACCGCGCCCTGCAGCCCCCACCACGGCAGCGACAGCAGCGACAACCCTGAGCTGTCCCCCCGGGCTGCCTCGGACAGCGGATGAGGGACAGCGGCAGGGCACCTGTGTGTCACCCGTGTCACCGTGTGTCACCCGTGTCATCTCGGACAGCAGCTGAGGGATGGCAGCGGGACACCTGTGTCACCGTGTGTCACTTGTGTCACCCGTGTCACCGTGGCCGAGGGACAGCAGTGGCACACCCATGTCACTGTGTGTAACCTCGGGGTGATGGGGACAGCACCGTGTCACCGTGTGTGACCATCACCCTGGACGGCGGCTGACAGACGGCAGCAGGACACCTGTGTGTCACCCGTGTCACTGTGTGTCACCCATGTCACCTCGGACAGCGGCTGAGGGGTGCTGGGAGGACACGCGTGTTATGTCACCATGTGTCAGTCACCTCGGGGTGATGGGCGCAGCACCATGTCACCGTGTGTCACCACGTGTCACCGTGTGTTCCCTCGGACAGCAGCTGAGGAGCGCTGGGGCCACCCTCCTGTCCCCTTCTGTCACCCTCCCACCCCTTTGGACTGTGGCAATGGAGTGGGGGGCCATGGGACACCCCCCTGTCACCTTCTGTCACCTGGGACAGCGGGTGACGCCATGGGGGGGGGGGGGGGACACCCCCAGACACCTTGGTGTCCCCCCCAGTCCCAGGAGGGCGGTTTTGGCGTGTAGGGAGGGGGGGTCTCAGAACCCTTTGTACCTCCCTGGTTTTGGGGTGCAGGGGGGTCTCCCATCCCCTCACTCCCCCCGCGGTTTTGGGGTGCGGGGGGTTCCCCGTGTTTATCTCTGGCCATCGTGTGGCCGTTCCCGTAGCTTTGTTCTGGAAAGCTCTGTATAAAAACTCCTGCGTTCACTGTGCTGGACCCCCCCAAACCCCCCCGGGACCTCCCAAGTGGTGGGAGCCGAGCTGAGCCTTTTTTTTGTGGGGGGGGGTTGCTGGAGAGGGGAGGGGACAAGGGACAGAGGGGACAAACCAGGAACCATGAGTGGTTTTTGGGGGGAGGCTGAAATCTGGGGACAGGGTGGGGGGGTTCGAAGAGGGGGGAGACCCCCGTGGTGAGCCCCAAAATGGGGGTGGAGGGGTGTATTTTTTGGGGGGAGGGGTCTCCATTGGTGGCTCTGCCCCCAAAGTGACCTTGGCGACGTCACCGTCACCTCTCCGTGCCTCAGTTTCCCCCAGCTGGAAATTTGGGGGGGGGGGGGGGAATTTGGGGGGGGCACCCCTGGATGCAATTCTGAGCCCATCCCCCACCCCCTGGAGGAGCCCATCCCTCCCCACAGTCCTGGACCCCTGCCCCGGGTCCGGTTCTGCTTCCTCTTTGCTGTGGGGGGGGGGGGTCATGGGTGGGATTTGGGTGGGATTTTGGGGGGATTTGGGGTTTTTTGGGGGGGCTGAGGCACAAATTAAAGGAGCCTGAACTGGACATGTCGCTCTCTGCTCGGCCTGGGGGCGGGGGGTTGGGGAGATTTTGGGGAGGTTTGGGGGGGGGTGGGTTTTGGGGGGCTTTTTTTGGGTTTTGGGCGGATTTTGAGGGATTTTTGGGTTTCCCTCTCCCCGTGAGCTCCCCCCGCCCTGGGAACTTTGTGGAGGTGACAAAACCCCGCGTGGGTCTTTGGGGCAGATTTTGGGGGACCCCAGACCCTTTTTGGGGCGCCAGGAGTGTGAGGGACACTCCGCGGGTAGGGGAGTGGGGTGGTGGCCCCGCGGTGGCCCCGTGCGACAATCGGGGTGGCGCGAGGCTGTCAATGATTAACGCGCGGTGCCAGGCAGCGGTGGCACTGGTGGCACTGCTGGTCGGGCACTGGGGAGCAGCCAGGGGACATCGCGCTGTGCCCGGGCGTCGCGTGTGTCCCCTCCCCATGCGACGGGCAGGTAACGGCGGTGGCGGGGGACCAGACACCGGCCATTGTCCCCAAGGGCTGGAGCGGGGAGGGGACAGGAGGGGACACGGCGTCCCTGAGCGTCACCAGCGGAGGTTTTCCGCTCATCCCAGCCCACACTGGGGGGACAAGGACACCCCGAGGGACACGGTGGCCTCGCGGCGCCACCAAAGAGGGATGACCGCAGGTGGCCCGTGGGGGAAACTGAGTCACGGTGACACCGCGGCTCATGTGTCCCCTCCAGGGGTGGCCTCGAAGCGTCAGGAGCCCCCCGGGGGTGCCGCGGTCGCCAGGAGCGGTGACATCCCTGCGATGTCCCCGCCGTGTCCCCCCGCACGGCGACAACACCACCACAGCGCCGCCACCCTCCGTGTGGCGATGTCGCCGCCAGCGCGTGCCAGGCGTGTCACCTTCGAGGACGAGCTGGTGACAGCGCGGGGGACGGTCGGTGCTGCCGGGGCGCGGGGGAGGCCGGGGGACGGCGCTGGGTCCCCAAAGGGGCCCCCAAAAGTGTCATTGCGGCCGGACAATCCATCCCGATCCCGGCGGGATTCATCCCGGCATTCCCGATCCCAGATGGATCCATCTCGATCCCTGTTGGATCATTCCCGATATTCTCGATGCTGGCTGGATCCATCCCAGCAGGATCCATCCCAATCCCAGTGGGATCCATCTTGGAAGGACCCATCCAAACATTCCCAATCCTGGCTGGATCCATCCCAGAGTTCCCGATCCCGGCTGGATCCATCCCGATCCCAATTGGATCATTCCTTGCAAGATCCATCCCAATATTCCCGATCCTGGCTAGATCCATCCCAAGAGGATCCATTCCAATCCCGGTGGGATCCATCCTGGAAGGATCCATCCCAACGTTTCTGATCCTAGTTGGATCCATCCCGATCCCAGTGGGATCATTCCCGACTTTCCCGATCCTGCCTGGACCCATCCTGGCAGGATTCCCGGTATTCCCGATCCCGGTGGGATCCATCCCAACAGGATCCATCCCAACATTCCCGATCCCGACTGGATCCAGCCCGACATTCCCGATCCCGGTGAGATCATTCCTACCCAGATCCATTCCCGATCCCGGCTGGATCCATCCTGATCCCGGTGCCACTGGAGCCGCGACAATCGGGGACGGCCGGGGACACCCCCCGAGCCACCCCGGGGTCCCCTCCCCTCATTTTGAGGTTTCTGGGGAGGCCCCGCCCCCTTTGCACCCCCCCTGGATGTGTCCCTTGCCCTTCCACAGGAACTGGGATAATTAAACATTGATTAATTCATTCATTACCTTTGGTAATTAACAAAAAACCTCCAAGTTTTTTTTCGGGGGGGGGAGGGGCGGGACGATCTCAAGCCTTCCCCGCTTTGGGGACGCTCCTATCCCCAGTTTCCCCTTTTGTTCCCCCAGAATTTCCCCAAACCTCCCTCGGGGGCTCCTCCCGATTGGGCCCCGCCCCCTTTTAACCCCTCCGTGCCCGGTGCCGCCCCCCGCCCTCCCCGGGGGCGGGACCCGGGGCCGGTGCCGCAGCGCCGCCGCCGCCGCCGCCTCCGCCGCTCCTGGCTGCCATTTTAAGGTGAACAAAGCGGCGGAGGAGGCGGCAGGTGAGCGGCTCCGCGGTACCGGGAACCCCCGGTACCGGCAGCGGCAGCGCGGGAGGAGGGCGGTACCGGAACGGGAGGGAGCACCGGGGGTCTCCGCTCCCCGCTGCGAACGGGGGTAGTTCGTCCTTCCCCGAGGCACCGGGGGCCTCGCCGGGCTTCTCTCCGGCACCGCGGGCCGGACCGGGAGCGGCCACAGGGTTCCAGAGCGGGTACCGGGGTCCCCGCCGGCACCAGGGCCCCAGCCAGTACCGGATTCCAGAGCGGTACTGGGGTCCCCACCGGGTCCACACCGGTACCGGGGCCCCAACAGGTTCATATCGGTAGCGGCCACGGGATTCCAGAGCGGTACTGGGGTCCCCACCGGCACCCGGGTCCCCGTCGGTTCCGGATTCCAGAGCGGTAGCGGGTCCCCAGCGGCTCCGCACCGGTACCGGGCTCCCCGACACCACCGAAATCCCCTCCGTGCTGACCCCGGTAGTGCTCCCGGTACCGGAGCCGTCCCCGGCCCGGCTGCCACCGGCGACACCGCGCTCCGGTCCCTGCTGCGGATCCCGGTGGCCTCCCGGGGGTCCCAAGTGGAGTCAAATGGGGGGATCCGCCCGGCACCAGGAGATTTGGGATCGGTGGGACCGGGGCATTTGGAATCGGTGGGATTGGGAACCGGGACCTTTGGGCACCCCCAAAACTCCTCCCCGCCCCTCCCGGGGGTCCCGCCGAGCCCCAGTACCGCCGGAACTGGCGCCCACTTTGAGTTTCCCACAGGAACTCGCCTTTCCCCCAGCGATTTGGGGTTTTTTTTGTTGTTTTTTTCTGGGTTCTCTGCATGGCACGAGGGGGTACCCACATTAATTTTGCTGATTTTAACCCCCCACCCCAAATTTTCCAGCCGCTCTCCTCGTGGCCTTGCCTCACGTGGACTTGGTGATTATAATTATTTTAATTATTTTGATTTTGATTGTGATTATTTTGATTTTTAATCCGTCCGGATCAGCTTAGGCCCCCTGCTTCCCATCGGGGAATTCCAGCAATCCCAATTAATTCCCTGCCGGCTTCAGGCTGTTGGGGACAGGGAGGTGACACCGAGAGCCTGGGGTGGCACTGGCTGGTGACTCACTGTGCCTCAGTTTCCCCACGTCAACCCAAGGTGACGCCGTGCCTCAGTTTCTCCACGAAACTTTTGTGGCGTCTTTTTATGGAGTCTCCAAGGTTCTTGTGAGGTCTCCAAAGTTTTTTTGGTGGGGTCTCCAAGTTTTTTTTTTGGTGGGGTCTCCAAGGTTTTTTGGGGGGGAATCCTCCGGTATTTTTTTGGGGGGGGTCTCTGAATTTGTTTGTGGGATCTCCAAGGTTTTTGTGGGGGTCTCCAAGGTTTTTTTGGTGGGATCTCCAAGGTTTTTTTGGGGGTCTCTCCAGGTTATTTTTGAGGAAGTTTCCCAGATTTTTTGTGGGGTATCCAAGGCTTCTTTCGTGGGATCTCCAAAGTTTTTTGGACACCCCAACTCTGTGTGACAACCCTGTGCCTCAGTTTCCCCACACAAACCGCCGCACCTCCCACTCCCTCTCCAGCTGGGTGGCGACGATGACAAAGGGACCAAAGTCCTTCCTCCACCACCTCCTCCAGCGACAGAACCTCCCTCGAGCATTCTGTCCCCTGTCCCCTGCAGGGATGTTCACCAAGAAACCCTATGACAGCGCCTACGGGCCACCCCCCGCCTCCTACGGGCCACCCACGGGTGACTATGGCTACGATTTCGGCGCCCGCTCGCCGCCACCGGGCTCCTACTACATTGAGGACGTCCCTCAGCATTTCTACAAGTGGTCGTCACCGCCGGGGCTGGTGCGGCTGCTGGAGGGCGCGGTGATGCTGTTGTGCATTGCCGTGTTCGCCTGCGTGGCCTCCACGCTGGCCTGGGACTACGGCTACGGCTACGGCGGCGTGCTGGGCACCGGCCTGGGCGGTTTCTACGGCTCCGGTTACTACGGCAGCGGGGTGAACTACGGCTACGGCTACGGGGGATACTACGGAGGCGTCACCAACCCGCGGGCGGCCAACGGCTTCATGATTGCCATGGCTGTGCTCTGCTTCCTGGCCCAGCTGGGGCTGTTGGTGGCCAGCTTGAGCAAGTCCAGCAGCTCGCGGTCGCGCCGTTTCTACCTGGTGGTCATCGTGGTGTGCGCCGTGCTGGCCTTGGTGATGCTGGTGGCCAGCATCGTCTATGTGGTGGGGGTGAACCCGCAGGCACAGATGAGTGGCGGGGGGTACTACTACAGCCCGCTGCTGGCCATGTGCAGCCAGGTGTACGCCGGGGGCACCGTGCTCAACCAGTACCTGTACCACTACTGCACTGTGGACCCGCAGGAGGTCAGCGGGGACACCCCGGGGGATGGGGGCTACTGGGAGGGAATGGGGACCACCAGGTGACGGGGACTACCAGGAGGGGACAGGGACCACCGAGGAGAGGGACCACGAGGTGGGGCAGGGACTACTACGAGGGGATGGGGACTACCAGGTGATGGGGACCACGAGGAGGGGACAGGGACTACTGGGGGACAGAGACCACCAAGACAGGATGGGGACTACTGGGAGGGGAGGAAGGGCCACCAGGGAATGGGGACCACTAAGAGGGGACAGGGACCACCACGAGGGGATGAGGCTATCGGGAGAGAATGGGGAGGAAGGACCACCAGGAGACAGGGACCACCAGGATGGGACAGGGACTACCAGCAGGGGACAGGGACCACCGGGAAGATGGGGACCACCGGCAGGGGAAGGAAGGACCTCCAAAAGATGAGGGAAGGACCACCAGGAAATGAGGGATGGACTGAGGGAGGGACCTCCAGGAGGGGAGGGAGAGACTGAGGGAGGGAGGGAGGGAGGGAGACACCCCCAAAAAATGAGGGAGGAACCCCCAGGGGGTGAGGGAAGGATCCCCACGGAAAGGTTTGGGATTCGGGAAGGGCAGAGAAAAATTTGGGATTCAGGAATCAGCCCCGCCCCCTCGCTCACCTCCCCCCTGCTCTTCCCCGAGCCAGCCCCAAACAGCAGCGATCCCAAAGCATTCCCGGACCCCGGTGCCGGTCTCAAATCATTCCCAGATCCCAATCCTGGTCCCTATCCCGATCCCAATCCCGGTCCAGGTCCCGCTCCCGGTCCCGTGCCTGACCAGGCCGGGGCCGCTCCCCCCGCCAGGGCTGGAATTGGAATGCGGCGCTTCCAGCCCGGCCGGCGGAACCGGGAGCGCCCGGGGCCGCCCGGGACTGGCACGGGATGGGGGCCCGGCAGTGCCCGGCTGGCACCGGGAGCCCCCAGATCCTGCCCGTCCTTCCCAAACCCCGAACCTTCTCAAACCCCCAACCTTTTCTGTCCTTTTAGAATCCCAAAACTTCCCAAATCCCAAAGGAGGTTTGGGAAGGAGAGGAAAGATTTGGGATTTGGAAAGGTTTGGGAAGGACAGAAAAGCTTTGGGATTTGGAAAGATTTGGGGTTTGGGATTTGGGAAGGACAGGGAAATGTTTGGGATCTAGGAAGGTTTAGAGTTTGGTATTTGGGAAGATTTGGGGTTTGGGAAGCACACAGAATCTTTGGGATTGGGCTCACCCAACACCACAAGGATTTTGGGGATGAGAGTCCTGATGCCAGGAATCCCTAAACCCCAAATTCCCAAACCCCTGAATCCCCAAATTCCCAAATCCTGAATTCTTGAATGTGGAATCCCCAAATTCCCAAATAATTCCTGAATAATTCCTGAATAACCCCTGCACTCCCTCAGGCTGTGGCCATCGCCTGTGGGTTCCTGACTGTGCTCCTGCTGTGCCTCATCTGCGTCCTGGCGCACAAAACGCGCAGCAAGATCTGGAAATACGGAAAACACAACATTTACTGGGATAAAATCCCTGCCGAGCCCCAGGGACCTGACGTCGAGGAGTGGGTGAGAGCTGCGAGTTCAGGACTTGTGATTTGGGGTTGTTTGGAACTTTGGGATTGTTGGGATTGTTGGAAATGTTGGATTTTGAGGTTTTCAGATTGTTGGAAATGTTGGGAGTTTGGGATTGTTGGAATTTGGGGATTGTTGGGATTGTTGGAATTGTTGGAAATGTTGGGATTTTGGGGATTGTTGGAATTGTTGGGATTTTGGGAGTTTTGGCAGTTTGGGATCGTTGGAAGAGTTGGATTTGGGGGATTTAGGGGATTTGGGGACACTGGGAAGGGGTTTGGGGACACCAGGAGGGGACTTCAGGGGAATTTGGGGACTTGAAGGTGTGTGTGGGGACACCAGGAGGGGTTTGGGGACCTCGTGTGGCGACGTCAGGAGGGGGTTTAGGGACCCCAAGAGTGCTTGGGGACACTGGCAGGTGACACTGCCAGGTGACACCGGGGCCACGGCGCGGTTTCGGTCTGGCCAATGATTAACCGGGAGGTGGCCCTGGGAAAACCCGGAGTGGTGGCATTGGATGGGGACCTTGGGGACATCCCGGTGTGGCCCGGGATGTGTCACCTGCTGGGGGATGGGTGAGAGTGTCATAGCGTTCCCGTGGGAAGGGTTGGGACAGTGGCTTTGGGGACACTCCTGTCCCTGTCCCCTGTCTCTATCTCTGTCCCCTGTCCCCAACCCCTTCCTTGTCCCCTGTCCCTCTCCCCATCCCTGTCCCCATCCCTCTCCTCTGTCCCCATGCCTGTCCCCAAGCCACCACTCCCAGTCCCGTGTCTGTGGGGCCATGCTCTCTGTATCGATTTTTATTTATTTTCATTTTATTTAATTTTATTTATTTTCATTTCTTTTGATCCTGCCCGCCTTTATTTGCTCAAAGCCCCTCCCTGGCCGAGCATTTCCTGTCCCTCTGGGGACACGGTGACACCCCAGGTGCCACCCCGGGTGCCTCCCCCCCATCGTGCCACCTCCCCCGCTTTGGGGATGTCACCCCCTTTGGGGACATCTCTGTCCCCAGATGCCACCACAGCTTGGGGACACACCAGGTGGCCCCCAGGAGGGGACAGCGGCGGAAGTGGCGTGTCCGGCCGGATGTCTCCAAGGCCACCAAGGCAGCGGGGACCGGCATCCGGCACAAACAACCCACAAAGGGCCGGAAGGAAGGGGACAGGGGACAGCCGGATGTCCCTTGTCCCCCTTGTTGGGCCACCCCAAACCTCTCGGGGCGTCACCCTGAGGGTGGCACCAACCGCCAGCTCTGTGCCTTTGTCCCTTTGTCGCTGTCTCCCCACGAGCATTTGGGGTTTTGGGATTTTTTGGGGGTTTTGGGGTTTTTGAGGTTTTTGGGGTTATTGGGTTTTGGGGGTTTTGGTTTTTTGGGGGGTTCTTAGGTTTGGGGGTTTTTGGGTTTTGAGGTTTCTGGGTTTGGGTTTTTTTGGTTTTGAAGTTTTAACTTTTAGGGGGTTTGGGTTTTTGAGGGGTTTCTGGGTTTGGGTTTTTTTGGTTTTGGGGTTTTGGATTTTTTTGGTTTTGGAGTTTTGGAGTTTTTCGGTTTTGGGGTTTCTGGGTTTTGGGCTTTTTGGGGGTGTTCCTGGAGGATTTGGGGGGACTCCAGGTGGGACAACAACCCCTGGTTTCCGTGGACTTTCTGCCGGATTTCTCAGGGAATTTTCGGGGATTTCTTGTGGGATTATCAGGGATTTCTTGGTGTATCTTCAAGAAATTTTCTGGGGTTTCTTGGTGAATTTTCAGGGATGTCTCGGACAATTTTCAGGGAATTTTCGGGTGCTTCTCGGTGAATTTTCAGAGATTTCTGCGGGAATTTCGGGCCAATTCCCACGCAAATTTCTCGGGACATTTCTCGCCGGCTTCTCCTTTATCCCAGCTGAGTTCTCCCCCCAAAATCCCAAATCCCTTTTTCAAGGTGAAGAACGTGTCGGGCGGGACGAGCGTTCCGGACGAGGCCGCCACCGTCGCGTACTCGGAGAAGGGCGGGACCCCCGGGCCGGCCCCGCCCTACAGCCCCCCCTTGTACAGCGACCCCCTCCAGAAGGGCTGGAAAAGGTGGGGAGGGGGCGGCAGCGCCAGGGGACGGGGTGGGGAATGTGGGGAATATGAGGAGGGGGCGGGAAAAGATTGGAGGGGTCTGGAAATTCGGGGAGGGGTCGGGAGAGTGGTGGAAAAAGTGGGGAAGGGGCAGAAAAAGGAGGGAAAGGTGCGGAGTGGTCGGGGAAAGAATGAGGGGGTTGGGAAATATGGGGAGGGGGCGGGAAAAGATTGGAGGGGTTGGCGAATTTGCGGAGAGGGCGGGAAAAGGACGGAAAAAATGGGGGAGGGGCGGAAGAGGGAGGGAAAGTTGAGGACAGGTCGGGAAATTTGGGGAGGGGTCGGGAGAGGGATGGAGAAGGGTGGAAAATTTGGGGAAAGGGCGGGAAGGGGTGGAGAAAATGGGAAAGGGGCAGAAGAGGGCAGGAAAGGTGAGGAGGGGTGGAGAAATGTGGGGAAGGGCCGGGAAAGGGGTGGAAAAAGTGGGAAGGGGAGAGAAAGAGGTGGGGAATATGGGGAGGGGTCTGGAAAGGGGTGGGAAAGTTTGGGAGATGTGGGAGGGTTCGGGAATGGGTGGAGGGGTTGGGAAATAAGGGGAGGGGTCAGGAGAGGGGTGGGGAAGGATTTGAGGGGTCGGGAATCCCCCTGTGCACCCCGGGGCCGTGTCCCCGTGTCCGATGTCCCCGTCTCCCACCAGTGACCCCCCCTCGGACCCCCCCTCGCCCTCGGAGGAGCCGGACGCCGCCCATCCCCCCCACAAGCCCCCCGCCCGCCGCGGCCGCCGGGGCCGGCGCCAGCCCGAGGGCTCCCAGTGCTCCCAGTACGACACCGACCCCGCCACCGCCCCTGAGTCCAGTGACGAGCGTGACAGCGAGCAGTGGCACAGGTGACACTCGGGACGGTGCTTCTCACTGGGTCTCTATGGCCCTGTGTCCCCATGTCTGGTGTCCCCATGTCCCCAGTGTCCCCAATGTCCCCAGTGCCCTCATGTCCCACGTCCCACACCCAGTGTCCCCATATCCCAATGTCGCCGATGTCCCCAGTGTCCCCATATCCCAAATCCAATGTCCCCATATCCCAAATCCAATGGCCCAAATATCCCCAAGGTCCCCAATGTCCCCGTATCCCATATCTAATGTCCCAATGTCCTCATATCCCAAATCCCAATGTCCCCAATGTCTCCAATGTCCCCATATTCCAAATCCAATGTCCCCATATCTCATATCCAATATCCCAAATATCCCCAATGTCCCCAATACCCCCGTGTCCCCAGTGATGTCCCCATGTCCCCCTGCAGGCTGTACCCCCCAATCAACTCCCCGGGCACGCGCCAGCGCTACAAGGCGGATTTCGGGCAGGAGCTGCGGCGCTACAAGGAGCTCTGTGCCCACATGGACGGGCTCAATGAGCGCCTGGCACAGCTGGCAGCGCAGCTGGACCAGGTGCCCGAGGACAGCGCCCAGTACCAGGTGTGCCCCTGCTGACCCCCAGACCGCCCTTGGTGCCCCTTTTCACCCCTTTTTGCCCCTTCTTCCTTCTTTTTGACCCCTTTTTCACCTCCACTCCCCCCTTATTTCTTCCCCCATTCACTCCCTATTGTCCCCTCTCTGTCCCCTCTGTCCTTTCCATGTCCCTGTCTCCTCCTGTTCCTCTGTCCCTTCCTGTCCCTCTGTCCCTCTGTCTCCGATGTCCTTGTGTCCCCTGTCCCTGATCCCGCTGTCCTTCTGTCCCCTCCCTGTTACCTCTGCTCCCTTTGTTCCCCCATCCCCTATCCCCTGTCCCTCTGTCCCTGTCTCCCCCATCTCCCCTGTCCCTGTCCCCGCTGTCCCCTGTCCCCTCTGTCCCTGACCCCGCTGTCCCCGCAGGCGCTGGCCGAGGAGTACAACCATCTCAAGGACGTGAAGAGGGTGAGTTCTCGGGGCTGACTTTTAGGGTCACCTGCCTTTTTGGTGACATCCCCCATATCCCCAAAATGTCCCCAGAATGTCCCCAGACATCTCCTAAAGTCCCCAAATGCCTTCCCAGAGCCCGGAGTACCAGGACAAGAAGCGGGAATCCAAAACCCTCCGGAACAAACTCTTCCACATCAAAAGGATGGTCAGCGACTACGACAAGCTCCGGGGCTGACCCCAAAGCCACCACCCCCAAAAAAAAGGGACATTTGTAGGGGGGACGCCCCAAAACCCCACCCTCCGACCCCCTCCAAAGACTTTTGTGCCTTTTTTTGTCTTAAAAAATTCCAAAATTTCTCGTTTTGAGCCCTCCCCAGTGCCAAAGGTGGGGGGGGGATGATGGCAGCTGTTGGTGTGACCCTGTCTCCACCCCAAGATGCCCCCAGATGTCCCCCACACCCTTCGGGACCTCCCCCAGTGCCTTCCCCTGGTTGTAAATAGGCTTTTTTATGGGGTTTGCACTCCCCTAGCTGCCTTAAAGGGGTTTTGGGGGTCCCAAATTGGGATTTGGGGGACAAAAAAAACTTTTTTGGGGTTTTTTCTGGGGGGAAGGATGACCCAAATCCCAAAATATTTTGTAGGGAATTGGTGGGATCTGTGGGAATCATGTAATATTTTAATTGTTTTGTAATAAATTAAATGTAATTGTTGATTTTCATTTAGGGTCGGGGTGAAATGAGAAGGTTGAAATTCCCCTAAATTTGGGAAAGGACCCCAAAACCCCTCCCAGTTGTGGAGGGGAAATCCCAAATCCCTCCACTTTGGGAAGGAAATCCCAAATATCTCTGTTTAGGAAGAAAAATCCCAGATCTTGAGAAACCCAAATCACCCAAATACCAAATTCCCCCCTCCCCAAAAAAAAACCAAGCTGAGGAAGAACCCCTGAAATCCCCAATTCCCCCCAACCCAAAAAAAAAAAATCCCAATTTCAGGATTTTTATGGAATGTTCCCTATTTTTGGGGTGGGTTTGATCTCCTCAGTTCCAATTTTTCTGCTGTATCCCAAATCCAGTCCCTGGGATTGCAGGAAGTGTCTTTAATTGGCGTTAGTTAATGGGTTTATATGGCGGAGTGAGGATTCCAATCAGTGAATAGTCCTGGAATCCCAAAATCCTGAAATCCCAAAATCCTGAAATCCCAAAATCCTGAAATCCCAAATCCCAAAATCCCAAATCTTGGCTCATTCCAGACCACCGGAGTTGTAGGAAACATCTTTAATTGGCATTAATTAATGAGTTTATATGGCGGAGCGAGGATTCCATCGGCCAGGTATGGTCCCAGAATCCCAAAATCCCAAATCCTGAAGTCCCAAATCCTGGCTCATCCTGGTGCCAGCCGGGGGGAACAGTCCCGGGGGGGGGGGCTGTGTCCCTTGTGTGTCCCCTCCATCTTTGGGGACAGCCTGGGGACAAGGGCAGGGCCCCAGAGCTTTTTGGGACAACACTGGGAGCTCTTTTGGAGACAACACCGGGACCCCAAAACTTATGGGGACAACCTCAGGTCCCCAAAACCTTTGGTGACAAATCAGGACCCCAAAACTTTTGGGGACAATGCCAGGACCTCAAAATTTTTTGGACAACACCAGGACGCCAAAACCTTGGTGAAAACTCCACGACCCCAAAACTTTTGGTGAGAATGCCGGGACACCAAAACTTTTTGGGACAACACTGGGATATCTTCTGGGGACAACCTCAATACCCCAAAACTTTTTGGGACAATAGTGGAACCCCAACAATTCCTGTGACAATGCCAGGACGCCAAAACCTTTGGTGCCAACCCCACAACTCTGCAGGCACAACCCACAAGGGTGCACCCCCAGCTCCGGGCCAGGAGCTGCTGGCATTGCGGAGAATCCCAATCCCCTTCCTGGGGAGTGTCTGTCCTGTTCTCTGGCCCATTCTGCTGTCTGGCCCATCCTGCAGTCTGTCTGGCCCATTGTCCGGCCCATCCCACTGTCCAGCATGTCCCTACTATCTGGCCCATCCCATTGTCCAGCCTGTCCTGTTGTCCGTCCATCCCGCTGTCCAGCCCGTCCCATTGTCTGGCCCATCCCATTGTCCGGCCTGTCCCGTTCTCTGGCCCATCCCCCTGTCCATGTGTTCTGCTCTCTGGCCTGTCCTGCTGTCCGTCCATCCCGCTGTCTGGCCTGTCCCATTGTGTGGCCCATCCCATTTTCCAGCCTGTCCCATTGTCCAGCCCGTCCCACTGTTCGCCCTGTCCCATTATCTGGCCCATCCCATTTTGGCCCATCCCATTGTCCGGCCCATCTCGTTCTCCGGCCCATCCCACTATCCATCTGTCCCGCTGTCTGGCTTGTCCCGCTGTCCATCCGTCCCGCTGTCCATCCATCTGTCCCACTGCCCATCTGTCCATGCGTCCATCTATCCATCCTGCTGTCCGTCCGTGCGTCCGTGCGTCCATCCGTCCCTACTGCCCGGCGCCGTAGGGCCAGTTGAAGGTGCTGCCGGACAGCAGCATGTCGCGGATCAGGGTCTCGATGGGCGTCTTGCCCACCAGGCGCATGAAGAAGAGCTGTGAGATGAGGGCAGCGGGCACGGCGCGCAGCGCGGGCAGCCGCAGCAGGAGCCGCCCGAAGCGCTGCGGCTGCGACGGGAACTGTGAGCGCTCGTACTCGGTCAGCGCCACCTGCGCCTTCTCCTGCAGCGTCTCCACGTGCGCCGGGTCCGACAGCCCGCAGGCGTCTGCAAGGGAACAGAGAGGGTTTCGATGTGTGGGGGGTGGCATGGGATCTGTTGGGAATGTCCCCAAATCCAATATCCCCAAAATCCATTTGGAATATCCCTGAATCCATTGGGAATATCCCCAAGGGAATATCCCAAAAGGCAGTATTCCCAAATCCATTGGGAATATCCTCAGATCCATTCTCCCAAAATCCACTGGGAATCTCTCAAAATCTATTGGGAATATCCCAAAATCCAATATCTCAAAATCCATTTGGAATATCCCAAAATTTAAAGAAATATCCTGAAATTTATAGGGAATATCCCCAAATCCATTGAGAATATCCCCAAATCCATCAGGAATCTTTCAAAATCTCAAATCCCCAAACCCTCAGAAAAACCCGCAAAAACCTTTCCCTGTTCATTCCCAACTTCAGATGGACCCAACCACCAGCTCTTGGAAAAACACAGGAAAACCTCTCCTTACTCACTCCCAGAACCCCCAAACCCTCAGAAAAACCCTCAGAACAACCTCTCCCTACCCATCCCCAACCCCAAAAACCCTCAGGAAAACCCCAGTCCCTCCCACCCACCCCCAGCCCCTCACCGGGCGTGAAGAGGGCAATGGCCTTGAGGCAGCTGTACTCGGCCGAGTCCACCTGCAGCCGGTTGAGCTTCTCCACCTGCTCCTGGAAGACCCGGATCTGATCCATGAAGGCCACCACCCTCTCTGCCGACATGGGCGAGGCGTGGAAGCCGGCGGCCGCCAGCAGCGGCGCCATGTGCAGCGGCAGCGCCGACTGCGCCGCGTTCAGCACGAACAGCTCACTCCAGCTCAGCCGCAGCAGGGCCACCTGGTCGGACACGGGCAGCTCGGGGAAGAAGGGGATGTTCCGCGCCCACTCCACCGTGCTGAAGAGCAGGCGGGCGGCCAGCTCGCAGATGTTGTCGATGCCCATAACGCTGCCCGGCGGCTGCTGCTGCTGCTGCGCGTACTGCGAGCCGTAGCGCGCCGCCGGGTAGGGCTCAGCGCGCAGCAGCTGCGAGATCAGCTCCGACACCGGCTGCCCGTTGAAGAAGTCACCAGCTGGGAGGGGATTGGGGCTGCTGCTGGAGTGGCTGGGGGGAATTCGGCCCCGCTGCACGGCTGGAGGGGGAGGAAGGTTGGGGTTTTCATGGTGAGCACAAAAAATCCCATTAGATTTTCATCCCAATCAAAAAAATCCCACCACATTTTTATCCCAACCCCATATGGATCTTCATCCTGATCCCACATGGATCCTACTGGGTTTGCATGGTAAACCCAAAAGATCCCACCAGATTTTCATCCTGACCCCAAAAAATCTCATCAGATTTTCATCCTGATCCCACACGGATCCTACTGGATCTTCATCCTGACCCCAATCAGGTCCTACTGGATCTTCATCCCAATACCAAAGAAACTTTCTGGATTTTCATCCTGATCCTAAAAAATCCCACTGGATTTTCATCCTGACCTCACACGGATCCCCCAAATATCCACAAAAAAATCCACAAAAAAGAGGAAAGAATTAGGGTTTTTTCCCCCAAAACCTAGGATTCCCAGAATTCCTGGATTCCTTGGGAATTTTTTCCCTACCTTCCTTCCTCATGCCCACTCGGAAGCACTTTTTGAGGCGGCAGTACTGGCACTGGTTCCGGTGGTGTTGGTCAATCTGACAATCCCGGTTGGACCTGTGGGAATCATCGGGATCAGCCCGAATTACCAGGAATTTCAGCCCCCCCAAATCCATCCCAGGAATCCCAGAGCCCATTCCCCAGTTTTTATGGGATTTTGTTGAAATGGTCATTGCTAATGGGTTTTTTTCCATGATGATGCCAAAAAATCCCATTGGATTTTCATCCTGATCCCAAAAAACCCCACTGGATTTTCATCCTGATCCCTGCCACGTCTGGAAATGTTTTTGGGATTTAATTGTTGGTGAGCCCATGGATGCAGCTCCAGGAATTCCACGGAATTCCAGGAATTTCCTGTGGGGTTGGGCCTGAAATCCCTCAGGCAGTGTTGACCCCAAATCCCACAGGATTCTGGGATAAAGGGAGAGAATTCCCCCTAAATTCCTCAGAGCCTGCAAAAGGATGGATTCATCTCAGAATTCCTCAAATTCCCAAAATCCCTGGAAAAGGGCTCCTGGCCCATGGATTCATCCCAAAATTCCCAAAATCCCTGGAAAAGGGCTCCTGTCTCCCATTCCCACATGGAATCTCCTATCCAACCCCCCCAGATCCCATTCCCAGGCTGATCTCAGAGCAAGAAATCCCTTCCCAGTAGGAATCGGGGCAGGAAAAGAGAATTTGGGATGAATTCTGGGGCTGGAGCCGCGGGAATCCCACCACAGAACCTTCCGGAATCCCAACACGGAATTAATTCATCCTCAACATCCCCGGCGCGGCCGGGAACGTGATCCCGATGAAAAGCAGGATCAGGAGCAGCCCTGACGTCTTCATCCAGGCCTGAATTCCCAGAAAACGACCGGAAAAGGCTCAAAGAACTGGGGAAAAAATGGGAATTATCCCAGAATATTTTTTCCAGTGATGAAAACATCCAGGGGAGCCGCCAAGGTCTGGGAGCAGCAGGAAAAGATCCCAAAATTATCCTGGATTATTTTTTCCCCAGTGGATAATTCCTTGGAATTTTGCGAAAAGATCCCAAAATTATCCTGGATTTCTTTTCTACGGTGGATAAAACCACCTGGATAATACCCACTGTGCCTGTGGAATTTTGCGAAAAGCTCCCAGAAATATCCCAGATTTTTCCCAATGGGCAAAATCACCTGGATGATCCCACCACAGCCTTGGAATTTTGGGAAAAGCTCCCAAAATTATCCCAGATTTTTTCCAGTGGATAAAGTCACGAGGACAATTCCTTGGAATTTTGGGAAAAGCTCCCAAAACTTATACCGGATTTTTTCCCAGTGGATAAAACCACTTGGGTAATTCCTTGGAATTTTGGGAAAAGCTCCTCAAAACTCATCCCAGATTTCTCCCAATCCCAGCAGGAATTCCCTCAATCCCTCCCCAGCTCCAGGGGCGGCACAGGCCAGAATCCAAAAAGGAAAAATCCAAAGGATTTTTTTCCCTTTTTTTTTTTTTTCAAAAGCCAGGAAGTGACTTGGGAATTTTTGGCTTTTCCAAAGGAACAAAGCTCCAGGATCCCGCTTTTGTTCTGGGAATCCAAAGCGGCCCCAAGCTCATTTGCATATTCAAAATGCCTTTAATTATCGCTCCCGCTAATTACCCGCCCTAATTAAGTCATTAGCACAGCCCGGGCCTTTCGGAGCTTCCCAAATTTCCCAGCTCACTGCCTCCTATCCCATTGGAAAACTCCAGGGGGGATTTTTGGGAAAGGTTTTCCCAATGCTGGGGGAAGGTTCGGCTCTTGGGAAAAATCCGGGAGGAATTTATGGAGCTTTTCCCGAAATTCCAAGGAATTAATCAGGTGTTTTTATCCATTGGGAAAAAAATCCAGGATGATTTTGGGAGCTTTTCCCAAAATTCCAAGGAATTACCCAGGTGGTTTTATCCACTGGGAAAAATCCAGGAGGATTTTTTGGGAAGGTTTTCCAGCTGGGAATTCTGGTCCGTGCCACTCCTGGAGCTGGGGAGGGGTTGATGGAATTCCTCTTGGGATTGGGAGAAACCTGGGATGAGTTTTGGGGAGCTTTTCCCAAAATTTCAAGGCTGTGGTGGGATCATCCAGATGATTTTGCTCATTGGGAAAAATCCGGGATATTTCTGGGACCTTTTCCCAAAACTCCAAGGAATTATCCTGGTGGTTTTATCAACTGGAAAAAAAAAATCTGGGATAATTTCAGGGGAACTTTTCCCAAAATCCGGGATTTTTTAGGATCGGGAGCCGACTCCTGCCAAGATTGGATCCAATGGCTCCTGGATGATTTCCGATCCTTTTCCCTCCTCCTAAAAATTCCAGAGCCCTCCCTGAGCCGGGATGAGGGAATGGGGACCCTCAGAAATTTGGGAATTCTGCCCTCTGGGAGCAGCCTGGGAACTCCCTCGTTCCAAACTCTGGGAATTCCTGGAGGTTCTGGCAGCTCCGAACTTCCTCGGGATCCCATCCTGGATTCCTCAGGGATCCCGGATCCTGGAATTCCAGGGGATTCCTGCTCCCACTATCCTGGAATTCCAGAGGCTCCCCGCTCCCATTATCCTGGAATTCCAGGGACTCCCTGCTCCCGGTATCCCGGAATTCCAGAGGCTCCCTGGTCCCGGTATCCCGGTGGACTGCTGTCCCCGGTATTCCAGAGGATCCTGCCCCTGCTGGATGCCGGTGTTCCCGGTCCATCCCGGTGCTCCCGGCATTCCCGCGGTTCCCGTTGCATCCCGGCCATGCCCGGGGTGATTCACGGGCACCGCGGGAACGCCGGGAGCGCCGGGAACACTGGGATGGACCGGAATGGACCGGGAATGGACCGAGATGGACTGGGAATGCCGGGAGATGGACCTGGAATGCCGGGAATGGGGACAGCCGGGGCTGGGGGATACTGAGATGGACTGGGGGATACTGGAATGGATTGGGGGGAAACCTCAGATGAACTGGGAGCCCCTGGGCTGAACTGGGAGCGCCGTTTCGAGCTGCACGGGGGACCCCTCATTTGCACTGGGAGCCACTGGTTTGTACTGGGAGACTCTCGTGCTGTACTGAGAGCCACTGGTTTGTACTGGGACACCCCCAGCACCACCACACCGAGACCCCAACTCATCCCCAACCGGGATCCCCCGCTGTCCCCCCGCTGTCACCTGCAGGTGTAGCTGAGGTTCCTGCGGATGCTGCGCTTGAAGAAGCTCTTGCAGCCCTCGCAGGTGAACACGCCGTAGTGCTTCCCGCTGGATTTGTCCCCGCACACCACGCAGTCCGCGCCGGCCCCGGGCCGCTCCTCCTCGCCGTGCTCCGCGTCGCTGCCGCCGCCGCCGGGGGACGCCGCCTCCTCCCCTCCGCCGCCGCCGCCGCCCCCGGTGCCACCGGCTCCGCCACCGTTCGGCTCGCCCCAAGCGCCGGCCACCATGGCCATGGCTCCGCGGGGCCGCGGGGGCTCAGCGCCGCATCGAGCGGAGCCTGCCGGTGCTGCTGCTCCTCCCGGTGCTTTTTCTCCTCCCGCTTCTTCTCCGCCCGGTGCTGCTTCTGCTCCCGGTGCTTCCCCTCCCGGTGCTGGTTCTGCTCCTGGTTCTTCCCCCCGTTCTTCTCCTCACGGTTCTTCTCACGGTTCTGCTCTCTGGTTCTTTTCCTCACGGTTCTTCTCCCGGTTCTTCCCCTCCCGGTGCTGGTTCTGCTCCCGGTGCTTCCCCTCCCGGTTCTTCTCCTCCCGGTTCTTCCCCTCCCGGTGCTTCCCCGCGCCGAGTTCGGTAAGTTTTACCGAGGAACCGCCGGCTGGGAAAAGCTCCGCTTTTTGGGGTAGTTTTTTAGGGATTTTTTTGGGGTCGCCCCCTCAGGGATTTGTCGCTCTCCTCCTCCTCCTCCTCCTCCTGCCCGTTCACGGCCCCGCGGAAAGTTTGCGGCGGCGGCGGGGCCGGGGCGCGGCGCATCCCCCCGCGGGCACCGGCCGCATGCGGGGCCGCTCCCGCCCCCGGTGGCTCCTGCGCTCCGCGGCACCGGCTGGAAGGAGGAGGAGGAGAAGAGGAGGAGGAGGAGGAGGAAGGAGGCGGCGCTGCCCCGGTTCGCCCTCGCCGCTCTCCGGGCCCCGCCGCCGCTCGCAGCCCGGTGCCGGTGCGGCTGCGGGTGCGGCGGGACCGGCTCCGCCGAGCCCCGGGGCTCTCCCCGCCTCCCGTGAAAGAGCAAAGTTCAGCCGCTGCCGCGGTGGCCGCCCTGGATGCTCCTCCCCGGCCTCCTCCCCTTCCGCTCCCGGGTCCTGCCCCGGTCCCGGCCCCGCCGCTGCCGCCGCCGTCGCACCGGGGCCGCTCCCCGCCCCCCGCGCCCCGCGGGTCGGGAACGGCCACCGGGACCAGCGGGGCCGGCGGGGCCGGCGGGAGCGAGGGGAGCGGGAATGGAGAGCGCGGTTCGGCGCCGGAGGCGGCGGCCGGGGCCCCTCCCGGGCCCCCGCGGCGGTTCGGGCACGGCCGGGGCTCGGCCGGCACCGGGAGCGCTGGGAAACCGGGATGGGAATGGGAAACCGGGATCAAACTGGGAAACCGGGATGGGGCCGGGAAACCGGAATGGGAATGGGAAACCGGGATCAAACTGAGAAAAAGGGATGGGACTGGGGAACTGGGATCAGACTGGGAGCCTGGCACTGGGATCCCAAATCAAACTGAGATCCCGGGATCCAGGCAGGGGCCTGGCAGGAGCCCCACGTGGCACCGGGATCCCAGCACGGAACTGGGAATCTGGGATCAAAATGGGATCACTGGGATTCTGGGTCAAACTGGGAGCCTGGCACTGGAACTGGGATTCCAGGATCCAGCTGGGATCCCAGCATCAAGCTGGGAGCCTGGTGTTGTGCTGGGAGCCCCACATTGCACCAGGACAAAATCCTATGGCCCCATAAACCCGCAAGGCCCCAAAAGGTCCCTGTGGCCCCATAAAGTTCTGAGACCCCAAAAACCTCTATAAAGTCCCCATGGCCCCAAAGTTCCCTGCAGCCCCATAAAGTCCCCGTGGCCCCAAAGGTCCTGCGGCCCCATAAATGCGGCTGCAATGCGGTCGATCCAGTCGGACCCGTCTCCCGGTGGGTGCTGGGATTCCTGGGAATCATTAACCCGGGATAATCGGGATAATCCCAGCGGGAAAAGGTGCCTGACCGCAGCACCCCGCCCTGCCCCGGGCACTTACGGGGCAAAGTCCCAGAAGTGACCCCAAAAATGCCACAGTGTCCCCAAGGTGCCAGGCTGGGATCGACCTTGGAGTCCCTGATCCGGGTTCTGGGTCGGGATTTAGGGAAAAGGAAAGCTAAGCCTGGAATTGGGGTGCAGCAGAGATGGCTATAAATGGAATTAAACCCCAAATTTCCTGGATTTAGAGGTTTGATCCTAAAGCCAAACAAATCATGGGATAACCCCTGGAAAATCCAGCTGGGAATGGGGTCAGCTTTGGGAGATCGACACCAATCCCTTGTCCCCACAATGTCCCCAAGAGTGGGGTGCCATAATTCCCTGGATTTAGGGTGCTCTGAAAGGATCCCAGTTCTCCAAATCATGGGACAATTCCTGGAAAATCCAGCTGGGAATGGGGCTGGCTTTTCAGGGATCTCAATCCACAGAGTCCCCCTGTCCCCACAATGTCCCCAAGAGTGGGGTGCCCCAGTTGCCTGGATTTAGGGGATCCCAGTTCCCCTGATCATGGGACAAGCCCTGGGAACCCCAGCTGGGAATGGGGCTGGGTTTTGGGGGATCCCAATCCGGGCCCAGTGGGGTCACCCCCACCCTTCCCCTGTGCCAGGCTGGGATTTGTGGCCTTGGGTTCTCTGGAAAAAAACCAACCCAAACCCCCCAAAATACCCCAAAATAACAATCCAGGAACAAAGGTGTAAATCCGATCTGGGTTTGTTTTGACGTTTGATCTCCAGAGGAATTCCAGTTCCTGAATTCCCAAATTCCCGAATAATTCCCATTCCTACCCCTCCTCCTCCTCCTCCTCCTCGCTCTGCTGCTCCCGCCCCACAAAAGGGCCCCAGGAAGGCTCCGAGGTTTTTCCGGGCTGCTTTTTGGGGTCAGCGGCAGCTCCGGAGGCTTCAGGATGGTTTGGGGTTCTGGTGGGGTGTGAAGGATGGGGTTGGGGATGGTGGAAAAGCAGGAAAAGATCCCAAAAATCATCCCAGCTCCTTCCTAATGGACAAACCCGGCCTTGGTGGAGAGATCCTAAAAATCATCCTGGATTTTTTTTCAGTGGGGGAAATCACCTGGGGATCCCCAGTGTGGATTTGGGATTGGATCGGGATTGGGCTGGGATTGGACTGGGATCGGATCAGGATTGGACTGGGATTGGATCAGGATTGGACTGGTTCCACCCCATCCCTCTGTCCATCCGTCCCCCGCGATGTCCCATGGGTGAAATGGAGCATTTTGGGGTCAAATCCCTGATTTTCAGCCACTCTGGGCGTTCAAGCGTCGCTGTCCCCACATTGCCACCTTCCCCCCCCATGTCCCCGGTGTCACCCCAAGGAGCGGTGACGGTGACACGTCCGGACAATCCCCGGGGCTGACCTGACTTCTCCACCTTTCCAGGGGGAAACTGAGGCACCAACCAGGGACTCGCGGTGGCCACGGGCTCAGGGGGGCGTGGCAGGGGGACGTGCCAACGCCAGGTGCCACCTGCCATATCCTGGTGCCACCTGCCGTGTCCCCTGCTGTCCCCAGCCCCGAGGTGGCCCCGCCTGTCACAGGGCCCTGACCCCGCACAAAGCGAATTTGAATCTCAAAAGGAGCCAAGCCCTGACCTCTGACCCCGGGGTCAGCCGGGCCCCCAGACACGGACACGGGCACTGGACAGACACTGGACACGGACCCCAGACAGATTTTCAGATTTGCCCATAGATTTCCAAATTTCCCCAAAGATTTCCGAATTTCCCCAGGGATTTCCGAATTTCCCCAGGGATTTCCGGGGCTCCCCATGAATTTCCGAGTTTCCCCAGGGATTTCCGGGGCTCCCTAGATGCAGGTCTCGCCTCCTCGCTGCAGCTCCCGCAGTGTCCGGGCCAGGGCTCGCTCCCTGCGGCCGTGCTGGCCCTGCAGCGCCGCCGCCCGCGCCTGCAGCCGCCGCAGCTGCTCCGCCTGCTTGCGCCGCGCCCCGCGGTACGCCAGGGCCAGCGAGCTGCGGGCACCGGGGGCATCAGGGGGGCGATTGGGGACACCCAGGGGGAGCAGGGGGTTTGGGGGGTTTGGGGATTTAGGGAGCCGGGGAATGGGAGGAGCTCAGGGGGTTTGGGGCGTCGGGCAATTTTGGGATTTAGGGATTCAGGGAATCGGGGGAGACGGGGATTTTGGGATTTAGGGATTTTAGGAGTCAGGGGAGCTGGGAGATCCAGGGGAGCCCGGGGAACCAGGGGAGCCCGGGATCTGGGGATTTAGGGAGTCAGGGAGTTGGAAGAGCTGGGAGCATGAGGGGGAGCCGTGAATTTCGGGATTTAGGGGTTTAGTGAATCGGGGGAGCCAGGGGTTTAGGAAGTCAGGGGGATGAGGGGAGTCAGGGCTTCCAGGGAGTCAGGGAGACTGAGGGAACCGAGGGGACCCAGGACACCCGGAGGACCCAGGGACACCCAAGGGACCCCGGCCCGTGCCGACCTGTGCGCCTGGAGGAGCTCCAGGGTGACGGTGGCGCTGTGCCCCTGTTGGGCACGGCTGGCAGCGCTGCCCCGCTCCAGGGCCAGCGCCAGCTCCCGGGCACGGCCACGCAGCTGCTCCGTCCTGGGGACACGGGGCAGTGTCACCAGGGCCACCCCGAGCCCGCCCCACCAGCCCGCCCACCACCACTCCCAACCCCACACAATTCCAGCCCCACACCATTCCCTGTCCCCACAGAATTCCCAACCCCACACATTTCCCGATCCCACACAGTTCCTGACCCCACACAATTCCCAATCCCCCACAGCTCCCATCCCTCACCTGGCCCGGATCCGGAGCAGTTCCTCCCTCGTTCTCTCGGGGTCCGGGGGGTTTCCCGGGGCCATCGCTGCCCCCCGCCCCATCCGCGCCTCCTGCAGAGATTTCCGGCTGTCTCCCACCCCTCGGCATCCCCCAAATCCCGGGAACGGCCCCACGGGATCCATCCCTACCTCCTCGGAGCTGCTGCCGGAGCTGCTGCCGGAGCTGCTGCCGGAGGCTCCGTCCCGCTCCCGGCCCCATTCCCGGTGCCGCTCCCGGTGCCGCTCCCGCTCCCGTTCCCGCAGCAGGAGGCGCAGCGCGGCCTCGCGGGGCCCGTGCGCGGCCAGCAGCAGCTCCAGGGCTCGCTTCTCCTTCTGAGCCAGCTGCAGCCGCGTCCGCAGCTCCGCCAGCGCCTCCTGGCACCGCGGGGAAACTGAGGCACGGCCGGGGAGACAGGGGGGCACCGGGGAGGGAGCCAGGGCGGGATCCAGGAAAGGATTCAAGGAGGGATCGATGGAGAAATCCGGGGAGGGTCCCAGGGAAGGATCCAGGGAGGGATCCATGAAGGGATCCAGGGAAGGATCCCAACCCCACCTTGAGCACCGCCAGCTCCTGCAGCAGCTCCTCCTTCTCCGGCCGCCTCCAGCCGGGCAGCAGCGCCCGCGCTTCCCGCAGCGCCCGCGCCGCCCGGCCCCGGGGGTCGCGCTCCCGGGGGGGCTCCGAGGGCTCGGCGGCGTCCAGCAGGGACCCCTCCACCGCCGCCTGCTCGGCACGGAGCCGCCGGATGAGTTCCCGCAGCGCTCCCTCCTCCATCCCCCGGGGGCTGCGGGGCGGGCACGGCGGCGGTGGGCACGGGGCACCCGGGGGGGGCTCAGCGCCGGGACCCCCGCGCCCCCGGTACCTGTGAGCCCCGGGGCTGTCCGCGAGGTCCTCACGGCTGTCCGGCTCCGCTGGCCCCGAGGGCTCCGGTGTGGCGAGGCCAGGTCCGGGTGCGCAGTCCAGGCTCTGTTCCGGTGTGGCGGGGCCAAGTCCCGGTTCGTGGCCCGGGCTCGGTTCCGCCGCGGTACCTGGGCACGTTGCGGGCAGTGCCGCTGCCCAGGGGTGCCCGCAAGGTGGTGTGGGGGGCATTGGGATGCCCCACAAGCTCCCTGCATCCCCCCGAAGTCCTTCCAGTACCTCCCGGTATCCCTCGTGCATCCCCCACTGCCACACGTGGGCCTTACATATCCCATTGGCATCCTCCCTGATTGCTCCCCAGTATCCTCCCAGTATTCCCAGTATCCCCCCAGTATCCTCCCAGACAAATTCCCAGAATCTTCCCAGTGTTCTCCCCATCACACCAGCGTCCTCCCTCATAACCCCTCAGTTTCCCCCAGCCCCCTGTGTCCCCCCGCTGTCACTCACCCCCATGGGTGCCACCTTCCGGTGCCAGCTTTGCCCGCAACAGGTCCAGGAGGGCGATGTAGGCGCCCCCGCAGCGCTCGCTGGGGGACAAGGGGCTCAGGAGGACTGTCCCCAGCCCTGTCCCCATCCCTGTCCCCAGACCAGTCCCTGTCCCCATTCCTCATCTGATCCTAGTCCCGATCCTGATCCCTGTTCCCATGCCGTCAATCCCATCCCATCCCACCCCTGTCCCTATTCAGGTCCCCATCCCGAGGGTCTCAGGGAACTGTCCCCATCCCGTGTCCTCATCCCTGTCTCTGTCCCCATGCTGTGTCCCCATCCCAAGTCCCCTGTCCCACCTGCAGCTCAGTGCCAGCCGCAGCCCGCTGCAGCGCGCCTCCCGCCGCCCCAGCTCCATGCTCAGCCGCTCCGCCTCGCCCTTGCACTCGCCCAGCGCCGCCAGCAGCTCCCGGTTCGCCTCCTGCAGCCGCGCCAGCATCCTGCGGGCCCGCGGGCACCGGGGCCGTGCCTCAGTGGCCCCAGGGGGGGTCGGGGGACTCGGGGCTCGGGATTTGGGGAGGACTCGGGGTTCGGGGGGCACTCACCCCTGCAGCTGCTGCAGCCGCTCCTCCTGCTCCCGGCCAGGCCCCGCCGAGGTCTGGGGGGACAGCGGGGCGTGGGGCTGCAAGGGAGGAGGCAACATGGAGGGGAGCGGCCCGGGGGGATCATCCCAGGGGGCGGCACCCCGTGGGACCGACCACCGCCACCACCCCGGGTGACATTGCGCGGAGGGGACGCCAGAGCCCCGTGCCAGGCCAGGAACCCCCCGTGCCCCAGCCCCGCACTCACCCGGTGCCCCGGGGGGCTGCTGGGCCCGGGGGTGTCATCGACCCCGGGAGTGTCACCGACTCTGGGGGCGTCGCCAGTCCCAGAGGCGTCGCCTGTCCCGGGGGTGTCACCGACGCCAGGGGTGTCACTGGTCCCGGGGGTGTCACCGACGCCAGGGGTGTCACTGCCAGACCCTCCCGGCTCCTCCAGCCTGGCCAGAGCCTCCCGCAGGTCTCGCACCTGAGCCGGACACGGGGCTCAGCACCGCCAGCGCTGCGGTGACACCCCGACGGTGGCACCCGGTGACACCGCGAGGGTGGCACCCGCGGTCCCGCACCCACCTTGCCCTGCAGGCGCTCCCGCTCGCCCCGCAGCGCCCGCAGGGCGGCCGTGGCCTGGCCCAGCTCCTCGTCCCGCTGGCCCAGGGCTGCCCGCAGGCTCGCGTTCCTTGCCGCCGCCCCCGCCACCTCCGCCGGTAGCCCCGGTCCCGCCGCCGCCTCCGGCCAGCAGCGGCGCGCCCAGCCCGGTGTCCGGCTCAGCTCCTGCAGGCCCTGCCCGTGCCAGGCCGGTCAGTCCGTGCCCGCCGTGCCGCCGAGGGCGCCGCGGGCGTGGCGAGGCTCACCTGGAGAGCCCGGTGCCAGGCCGGGGGGGGCGGCGGCCACGCCGGGGGGTGCCGACGGCGGCAGAAGGCGGCGCGCTCCAGGGAGCTCACGGCGTGCTGCAGGCGCTCGAAGAGATCCGGGCTGCGCGCTGGGGACAGCGACAGCGACACGGCCGCCGTCAGGGCAGGGACAGAGCGGCGGTGGCACCTGTGGTGGCACGGGAGGCGGCGCTCACCGTCCGGGCTGGCAGCGGCGACAGTGGCGGTGGCCTCCCAGCCGTCCTCATCCTCCCTGCGGGGCGAGGAAGGGCACGGTGATGTCCCGGTGTCCCCTCGCTCCCGGCGTCCCCTCAGTCCCGGTGTCCCCTTAGTCTCAATGTCTCCTCAGTCCCGGTGTCCTCGCGTTCCCGGTGTCCCCGCGCTCCCAGTGTCCCCGTGGGTGGCTCTCCAGGGGCCGGTACCTGGCGGGGCGCTGCTGTCGCCGCTGCTGTCGCGGGGCCGCCCCTGCCAGCAGCGGGATGTCCTCGATGTCACCGGCCACGTCCTCCTTATCCTCCTCATCTTCCTCCTCCGCTTCCTCCTCCTCCTCCTGGCGCGAGGGCCGGGCCGGGGTGCCCGTGGGGGTGCCCGTGCCCCGTTCAGCGCCGGGGGCAGGGCGGGTGGCACCTACCGGGCTCTCCTGGCACAGGGATGAGCTGCGGCCACCAGCCCGGCCCGCTGGGCCACCGGTGCCCGGAGCGGGAATTCCCCCGCGGAGCGCGGCACAGGGAGCCCCGGGAGCGGGCGGGGTCAGCCCCGTTTGGGGTCAGCCCCGCGCTGTGCCCAGCACGGACAGTGCCCCTCACCTCCTCCATGCCCGCGGTCCGGGATTGTCCTGCCCGTGGCTCCCAGCACGTCCCAGTTCCACTTTGGGGGTCCCAACACGTCCTGGTTCCACACAGGGGCTCCGGGATGTCCTGGCTCCACACCCAGGCTCCCAGTAAGTCCCAGTTTCCCCGCAGGGTCTCAGCAGGCCCCGCTCTTTCCCGGGGTTCCCGTTCTCTCCCAGTCCCCCAAAGTTCCCGTTCTCCCCCGGTTCCCGCTGTCTCCCGGTTCCCTGTTCTATCCCTATTCCCCCCAGGTTCCCGCTCTCTCCCGGTTCCCCTCACATCCCCGTTCTGTCCCAGTTCCCCCCAGCTGCAGTTCTCTCCCGGTTCCCCCCATTCTGTCCCAGTTCCGACCACGTCCCTGTTCCATCCCGGTTCCTCTCATTCTCTCCCGGTCCCCCTGGTTCCTGTTCTGTCCCAGTTCCCGGTCTCTCCCGGTTCCCCTCGTTCCGTCCCCGTTCCCCCCATTCTCTCCCGGTCTCCCCCGGTTCCTCCCGTTCTCTCCACGTTCCCATTCTGTCCCAGTTCCCCCCGTTCCGTCCCGGTTCCCCCCGGACCGTTCTCTCCCGGTCCCCTCCCGTCCCGCGGCACCTCCGGTAGCTCGGGCAGCGCCTCCGGCCCCGGCTGTGTTCCTGCCGGGATTTCCTCTTCCTTTAACCGTTCAGCCGCCCCGCCTGGGGGGCACAGCGGGGCCTTTTGGGGTGCTCAGCCCCCCTCCCAACCCCCCCTCAAAAACCTCCCAAAAACCTCAAACCCCCCTCCCAAATCCCCCACCCACCCCGGTGCCAGGCCGGTGCCACCCTCACCCCACAGAGCACCCCCTGCAACGGGGCGGGGACCCCAAAACGCTTTTGGGGGTGCTGGGAGAGATTTGGGGTGCTGTGAGAAGTGGGGGGATGCTGTTTTTGGGGTGCAGGTGGGTATATGGGGTGCGGACATCGATATTTGAGGCGCAGGCGGATGTTTGGGGGGTGCACGTGGACATTTGGGGTGCGGGAGGCAGTTTTGAGGGTGCACATGGATATTTAGGGGGAAAAGCGAGCATTTGGGGTGCAGAGGGTGGTGCACGGGGATATTTCGGATGCAGGAAGCCGTTCGGGGGCGTTCACACGATGTTTGGGGTGGAGCAGGGGGATTTGGAGTGCGGGCTGTGGTTCTGGGGGGTACACGGGGATTTGGGGCGCACGTGGATATTTGGGGTGCAGGTGGATGTTTGGGGGGTGCACATGGATATTTGGGATGCGGAAGGCAGTTTTGGGGGTGCACATGAATATTTAGGGTAAAACACGAGTACTTGGGGTGCAAAGGGCGGTGCACGGGGATATTTGGGGCGCAGGAAGCCGTTCGGGGGAGTTCACACGATGTTTGGGGTGGAGCAAAGACGCAGCGCGGTTTAGAGGGGCATTGGTGGGGCGGAGGGGGCGGCGTTCCGGGGCTTTGCCGGAGGTCTAGGGGGACTACAACTCCCAGCAGCCTCCGCGCGGCGCCATTTCCGGCGGAACGGGGTCGAACCAGAGCGGTGAGCGCGGGGGCTCTGGGGGAGTTCAGGGGGATTTTGGGGGGCTCAGGGGGCGAACACGAACGGGAGAGAGGTGGGGAAGGGGGTGCGTGAAGGGACGGGGCCGTGAGGAGGCGTTCGGGGCCTGGGGGTACTCCCCATGGTGGCGGCGGGGCACCCAAAGGGACTACAACTCCCACCAGCCCTCCCGCGCCGCCATTTCCGGCGGAGCCCGAGCGTCTGTGAGCGGCGAGCGCGGGGGCTCGGGGGACTTTTAGGGGGTTCAGGGGTGTTTTGGGGAGTTTTGGGGCGTCGACGGCGAACAGGAGCAGGGGGGGAGGGATGGGGAAGGGAGGGAGGGAGGAGATGGGGGCGTGGGGCCGGGGAAATGGGGCAGGGGAGGGGCGTGGGAAGGTGGGGGGCGTGGGAAAGGGGATCCGAGAGTGGGGCTGAGTGGGGAGGGGGCTGCAAGGGGGAGGGAAGTGAGTGGGGGACCCCCCAAACTCCTCCGAGCCCCTGCCCCTCGTACCTCCCACTCCTTGGACCCCCTCCCCACGCAGAGATCACCCCCGAGCCCCCCGGGTTTGGGGTTCCAGCCACACCGGACACCCCTGATTTTGGGGTTACAGCCACACCGGAATTTCCCCACTTTAGGGGTCCCAGGCACAGAGAACCCCAGGTTTGGGCTCCCAGCCCCACAGCACCCCCAAACCCGCTGATTTTGGGGTGCTAGCTCCAGCACACCCCCCGGTTTTGGGGTGCCAGCCCCCCAGTTTCGAGATGGACACGTCGGAGCCGGGCAGCGCCGCCGAGGATGAGGAGGAGAAGGTTCCAGATGTTCGGCCCCGCACCCGCTCCAACCCCGAGGGCGCCGAGGACCGAGCCGCGAGCGGGCCGGGCAGCGTGGGCAGCCGGGGAGAGGCCCCAGGGAACCGGGGAGAGGCTCCGGGGAACCGCAGCGAGGGCGAGGGGGAGGCGGCCAGCGCCGGGCACAGCCCCCCCGGGCAGCCTGGCACGGCTTGGCACGGCCCGGGCAGCCACGGGCAGCACGGCGAGGTGACCGTCAGAACACCGCGGGTCAACTGCCCCGAGAAGGTGGTGAGTGACTGGGAGGGACTGGGGGGGATTGGGGTGGACTGGGAGGGGATTGCGAGGGACTGGGATGGACTGGGGACACCCTGAGGGTCCCTGGGGACACTCGAGGGTCTCAGCTGTGCCCCTCCGCCAGATCATCTGCCTGGACCTGGCCGAGGAGATGGCAGTGCCCAAACTGGAGTCCTTCAATGGGTCAGTGCCAGGGGCTGCCAGGTGGTGTTTTTGGGGTGCCGGGTGGGTTCCTGGGGTTTGTGGTGTGTTTGGGGCGCCGGGCAGGGCTTGTGGTGTTTCTGGGGTTTGTGGTGTGTTTGGGGTGCCAGGCAAGGGCTTGTGGTGTTTCTGGGATTTGTGTGGTTTTTGGGGTGCCAGGCAGGGCTGGGTGGTGTCTCTGGGGTTTGTGGTGTGTGGGGTTTGTGTGATTTGGGGTTTTTGTGGTTTCTTGGGTGCCCTGAGCCCGTGCCCCGCAGGTGCCGCAGCAACGCCCTGACGGTGGCCCAGAAGATGATCGAGATGTTCGTCAGGACCAAACACAAAATCGACAAAAGCCACGAGTTCGCCCTGGTGGTGGTGAACAATGATGCCACCTGGGTGGGTGACACAGCCACAGCCACAGGGGGGACGGGAGGGCTGGGGTGCCAGGGGGCACCAGGCAGGGACAAGGACCGGGATGGGCACAGGGTGGGACAGAGATGGGCACAGGGAGAGGGGGTCTGGGGTGCCAGGAGGGGACGGGCACAGGGTGGGGACAGGGACCGGGATGGGCACAGGGGACTGGCAGAGGGGGCAGGGATGGGCACAGGGCAAAGGGACAGGGAGGGACACAGGGGCGGGCACAGAGGTGGGGACAGGGGTGGGCACAGAGCTGGGCGCAGGGGACAGGGTGGAGACAGGGCCAGTGCCAGCCCGGTGCCCCCGCAGCTCTCGGGGTTCACATCAGACCCGCGTGAGGTTTGCAGCTGCCTCTACGACCTGGACACCGTCGTGTGCCAGTCCTTCAGTATCCTGCCGTGCCACTGGGGTGTCCTGGGTGCCACCCGGGTGGCATCAGGGGGTTCTGGGTGTCCTGGGTGCCAGGGGAGGTCCCTTCTTTGCCACTGGGGTCCCTTGGGTGGCATTGGGGTGTCTTGGGTGCCACGGTGGCGCTGGGGGTGGCCCTGGGTGTGTCACAGGTGCCAGGACCAGCCTTGACTCCAAGCTCAGATCTGGATGGGCTCTTCAACCTCATGTGAGCACTGGGGGGGTTCCGGAACGTTCTGGGCGTGCTGGGGGGGGTGGCACCTGAGCCCTGTCCCCTGTCCCTGTGGCTGCCACCCTGACCCGGGGGTGCCGCCTGTCTCCGTCCCCTGTCCCTGTGGGTGCCACCCTGACTCTGTGGGTGCCACCCCATCCCTGTCTCTGTCCCCGTGAGTGCCACCCTGTCCTGTCCCCATCCCAGCCAGCAGAAGGTGGAGCTGCCGGTGACCGACAACATCCAGACCATCCCCCCGCCCTTCGTGGTCAGAACCATCCTGGTGTTCGGGCGCCCGCGCTGCCAGCCCCACTTCTGTGGGGGCGAGCACGTCAAGGTCTGGGACACCCCAAAATCCCCCGTGACACTGCAAAATCTGCCCATGCCACCCCAAAATCCCCCACTTCTGAGGGGGCGAGCACGTCCAGGTCTGGGACACCCCAAAATCCCCCCTGTGCCAACACCAAAATTCCCCCATTTCCACCCAAAATTCCCCCATTTCCACTCTCAAAATCCCCCCATGCCACCCCCAAAATCCCCCCATTTCCACCCCAGATCTCCCCATGCCAGCCCCAAAATCCCCCTGTGCCAGCCACAAAATTCACCATTTCCACCCCAAATCTCCCTCCAAACCCCCCAAATCTCCCCCCAAAGCCCCTAAATTCCCCCTTTTGTCCCCAGAAGCTTCTGCAGTGCCCCTATTTCTTCTTCGACGTTGTTTACATCCACAACGGGGTGGATGAAAAGGAAGACGAGAGCAGCTGGAAGGTAAAAGGGGACAAATTCCCCCAGATTTCCCCCAACTCCTCTCTTTCCCCCAAATCCTCCCTTTCCCCCTCCCCAAATTCCCCCTTTTTTCCCCTCATTTGTCCCTGTTTTTCTGTTTTTATTTTCTTTATCCCACAAAATTTCCCCCCCAAATTCCTCCATTTTTTTTGTGGGAAGGGGGGGGTTTGGAGAAGAAATGGGAGGGATTTTGGGGGGAAATTGGGGAAAAAAGGGGGGCGGGATTTTGGGGGGGGGGAGATTGGGCTAACAAAAGGGGGAAATGGAGTGGAAATGGAGGAATTTAGGGGGAATGGGGTGGGAATGGGAGGGATTTAGCGGGCAATGGGAGGATTAGGGGAAAATGGGGTGGGAATGGGATGGGTTTGTGGAGGATTTAGGAGGCCAAAGGACACTGGGGGATCACCAACAATGGGGTGACAAAACCACAGGATTTTGAGGGGAATTTTTGGACAAATCTAGAGGACAAAAAGAGGAGATTTCTCAGGATTTGAGATCAGGGCAAGCCAAATTTAACCCCTTTATGTCCCCATGTGTCCCCTCCCCAGGACATGTTCGGGTTTTTCGGCAGCCTGGACACCAAAGGCACCAACTACAAGTACGAGGTGGCCCTGGCGGGGCCGGCGCTGGAGCTGCACAACTGCATGGCCAAGCTGCTGGCGCATCCCCTGCAGCGGCCGTGCCAGAGCCACGCGCACTACGGGCTGCTGGACGGGGGGGACAGCCCCGAGGGGGAGGCCGCCAGCTGAGAGAGGGGACAGCCCCGCCACTCTCTGAGGGGACAGGCCCGAGGGCGATGCCCCCGCCTGAGGGGACAACCCTGTGAAAAACGCCAATCCCTCGTTTTTAAAATATTAAAAGTTGAATAGGAATGAAATGGTTCTAAAGCCAGCAATGTAATTAGAGGAATGCAGATTTGGATAACTGGGATTTAGGACTATAGGAGAGAGTAAAAACAAACGGACAGTATGGGTCCCTCTGTCCCAGCTCCATGGGGACATCCCGGAGTGACCATTCACCTCTGGCCACCACGGGTAGGGAGGGGACAGGGGATGGGGACAGGGACAGGGGACAGGGACATGCCAACGCTGCCCTGAGCCGCAGCCATTCCACAAATCCTCATTTTTTAACCCATTTCCAATAAGCCCTGGCCAAACCTGCCTCGCTCTCGCTGCAGGGGACACGGAGCTCCGTGCTGGGGACAGATGGGAACCTCAGCGTCCCAGCGGTCACCGAGGCCACCCCGGCTCGTCCCCGCGGCTAGGGCAGAGCCCTGTCCCCTGTCCAGCACAAACAAAAACCTATTCTGGGCCTTGACCTGCCACAAACCTCGGCCCACACGCGACAATTACGGTGTCGCCAGCAGTGCCACTGCCACATCCCGGCACGGCCACGGCCAGAGCGGGTCCTCCCGTCCCCGTCTGTCCCCTCCTGTCTCCTCTGTGCCTTCCTGTCCCTTCTGGTCCCCGCTGTCCCCCGCCATGGACCCCGCGGTGCCCCGGGCCACACTGAAGGTGCTGGCGCTGTGCGCGGCGCTGCTGCTGCTGGTGGCGGCGGTGACGGTGGCGGTGGCGCTGCTGCTGTGGCGCTCCGAGGCGCTGGGGAAGCTGCGCGGCTGCCGGGAGCGGGCGGCCAACGAGAGCCGGGAGCTCGGGGCGCGCCTGGCCGAGCTGGAGCGGCACCGGGAGCGGCTGCGGAGCGACGGGGACGCGCTGCGCCGGGAGCTGGCGCGGGCACGGGGCGACAGCAGCAGGGACAATGCCAGCCTCGTGTCCTGCCGCCAGCGGGCGGTAGGTGGCCGGAGGGATGGGGACAAGGAGGGGTTTGGTCCCTTTAGGGTGGAAAATGGGATGGGGACAACACTCCCTGTCCCTTCAGTAGCGTCCGCCGTCTCCACAGGTGGCCGGAGGGATGGGGACAAGGAGGGGTTTGGTCGCTTTAGGGTGGAAAATGGGATGGGGACAACACTCCCTGTCCCTTCAGTAGCGTCCGCCGTCTCCACAGGTGGCCGGAGGGATGGGGACAAGGAGGGGTTTGGTCGCTTTGGAGTGGCAAAGAGGATGGGGACTGCACCCCATGTCCCCACCGCAGTGTCCCCTGTCCCCTAAGGTGGCAGGGAGATGGGTACAAGGAGGGGTTTGGTCACTTTAGGATGGAAAATGGGATGGGGACAACACTCCCTGTTCCCTTAGTAGCCCCTCACACCTGTCTCCAGTCCCAGTAAGTGGCCAGAGGGGTGGGGACAAGGAGGGGTTTGGTCACTTCGGGATGGAAAGTGGTTGGGGACAACATCCCCTGTCCCCTCAGCAGTGTCCCCCGTCCCTCCCTCCCTGTCCAGCGGCCAAGCCCGGGGGCTGCTCCATCCCTGGGAGAATTCCCAGTTCCAGCCAGGAGGGTGAGCTGGGACACAGGCACAGCCACCTGGGGGGCGTAGCCGCCACCTCCCTGGAGGGACGCCCCAAAAAGAGAGCACCCCAAAAAGATGCTCCCGACTCCATCCTGGGGGGCACAGCCGCCACCTCCCTGCAGGGACGCCCCAAACCCGAGCCCTGGCGGCTCCCGGCCCGTCCCGCCGTCCCGCTCCCGGCGGGGCCGCTGTTCCCGGCTCCATCCCGGTAATTACCGGGTCCCGAGGCAGCGGCGGGGCCGCAGCTCCTGGGTTTGTCCTTCCCGGGTATTTTTAGCTGCGGTCGCAGCCGGGAAAGGGCCCGGAGGAAGAGCCGGGTCCCGCCGCCCCTCTCGGGCTCATCCGGCTGAACAATGGCCCGGAGAGGCTGGAAAATGTCCCCGTTTCCCGGGCAGGGCTCGGCAGCCTCTTGGAGAGCTCCTGTCCCCCTGTCCCCTCCCTGGCACCACCGGTGACACCCGCGGGCTGACCTCGGCCTGCTGGGACAGGCCATAGCTCCCCCAGGAGGAGTGTCACTTCAGGAAGGAGGGATTGTCCCCAAAGCCACATCCCCAACACTTTGAGGGACGTGATGGCAGGGGGACAGGCACCCAAGGCCACCAGGAGCAGGGGGACACTCAGGGACGTGGGTGACCTGGGGCTCTCCTGTGCTCCCCACCCTCAGGATGAGCCGTCCCTCCAGGGAGGGATTGTCCCCAAATTCATGTACCCCACCTTTGGAGGAGGATGAGTGGAGGACCCAAGGCCATCAGGAGCGTGGGGACAGTTTGGGGACAGGGGTGGCAGTGAGGCAAAGGAGCAGGAGGGCTCTGGCAGCAGAAGAAGAGTCGAGAGCGGCGGAGGGTGGAGAGGACACTGCTCACGGCTGTCCCCACCGGTCCCCTGTCCCCAGGCCAGGCTGGAGGCCAATGTCACCGCGCTGGGGGACGAGCTGGTGGCGCTGCGGCGCGAGCGGGCGCAGCTGGCAGGTGACAAAGCGGCGCTGCAAGGTGAGCTCTGTCCCCCCGCGGGGAGCCCGGCCCAGGGGGGCTGCGCTCCGCCCTGGGGTGACACCGGTGTCGCCGCTGTCCCCAGAGGAGGTGGCGCGGGGCGCGGAGCAGGCGCGGGAGCTGCGGCGGCGGCTGCAGGAGGCGCTGGAGGAGCAGCGGGAGCGCCGGGAGCGCCGGGACCGCTGCGAGGCGCGACAGAGGGAGCTGCAGGACAGCCTGTAAGGGCCCTGGTCCTTGGTGACACCCCTGTCCATCGGGGACACCCCCTGTCCCCCGGGATCATCCCCCTGTCCCTCGGGGACATCCCCCTCTAAGGTCCTTGTCACCCTCCTCAGGGTGGGCCGCCGCCAGAGCAGCCACACCCCCGCCCTCGTGACACCCTGTCCTGTCCCTCCCTCCTCATGGGGACCCCTCATGTGTCCCCCCAGTCCGCTCCTCCCCTTCCCTGTCCCTGTCCCCTTTTAGAGACGCCCTGTCCTGTCCCTCCTCCCCCTGGGGACCCCCGTGTCCCCAGCCGGGGTCAGGGCCACCTCCCAATGTGTCACCGCTGTCCCCACAGCCGGGACTACGCGGCCGAGCTGGAGATGCTGCGGCGGCGGGGCCGGGACAGAGGCAGCGGGCGCAGGTGTTCCCCGGGCCAGCGGTACTTGGGGGACCCGGGGAGGGGGGAGAGCCCGGACAGGGGGGGGACAGCCCGAGGGGACAACTCTGAGAGGGGGACAGACCGAGGGGGACAGCCCGGAGAGGGGGGACAGCTCGGGGAGGGGGACAATCCGGGAAAGGGACAATCCAGGAAGGTGTCACAACCCACGGACTGGGAAATCCCGCACGGGGGGATATCCTGGGAAGAGGGGACACCCCCGGGAGGAGGGGGCACCCCCGGGAGGAGGGGCAGCAAGGAGCGGCGGCTTCACCGCCCTTGTCGCCGTGTCCCCGGGGCAGCAGGACCCGTGCGGGACTCACTCCCCGTCCCTCCCCTTGCAGGAAGGGCTGAGGTCCCGCAGCCCCCCCGGCCACATCCCCGGTGCCGCGATGTCCCCAGCGCTGCCACCTGCGGGGCTGGCTCGGCCCCGGAGCCGCCAGCGCAGCGCGGGAGCCCTGGGGGTGGGACACGGGTCCTCATCCCATTGATCCCCTGATCCCATTGGGTCCTGATCCCATTGATCCATTGATCCCTGATCCCATTGATTCCTGATCCCACTGACCCCTGATCCCATTGGGTCCTGATCCCATTGATCCCTGATCCCATCAATCCCTGATCGCATCCCATGTCCTGATGCCATTGATCCCTGATCCCACTGTGATTCCTGGCCCCATTGGGTCCTGATCTCATCCCATGTCCTGATCCCAATCCTGATCCTGGTCCCGACCCCAATCCCAATCCCAATCCCGACCCCTTTGTGCCACCATCCCGTGTCCCACTCCTGCCGTGTCCCCATCGCAGCCAGACAGGGAACAGGGGGGCCCCTTCTCAGCTTTTTGGGGCAGTTTTGGCTCATCCCGGGCACGGATCTCCCTGGAATCCCCTCCGGGAGCTCCGGCCACATCCACGGCGCTCCAGAATCCGGGAACAGCTCGAATCTGGGGGATTTGGGGGAGATTGGGCAATAAAAGCTGTGCTGCTCACCAGGACATGTCCCTGCGCCGCCAGCTCGCTGTCCCCTGCTCCTCTGACCCCAACTGCCCCCTCCCCAAACCCAAACGTCCCCCTAAACTCCAGGGATTTCCTCTATCCCGAACCCCAAAACACTCCGAGGAAGGACTGGGGGACTCAAAGCCACACCCTGTCATGGGGCCACCGCCGGTGTCTGTCCCCTCACGGGGACACCGCAGCCACGGTGGCTCCGCCCAGCCGGGAGTGGCAGAGCCGGGGTTGTCACCGTGTCCGCACCCCGACCCCGCTCCCTGCGGGTCCCTGCGGGTCGGGGCGGCCTTGGGGACATGGAGGGGACTGAGCGCAGGGAAAAGGGTGGAGTTTGGGGTGGCATGGCTGAAGCGGGGGACAGTGCCCTTTGTCCCTCAGTGCCACCTCAAACCAGGCGTCTAGGGGTGTCGAGGTCCTGGCTACGGCCACTGTCCCCCTGTCCCCATCCCGTGGGGATGTCGCGATCCCCCAGCCCCGCCGGACGCCCGGGGGGTTCCGGGGGGGTCCGCGGGGTGTTCCTTGGGGTTCCGGGAGGTTCGGGGGGGCCGAACCGCGGGGCGCCCCGGGCGCTGACCCCTGGCCGGTGGCTGTTTCCTGCCCTGGCTGCCCCGCGTCCCTCGGGGACCGGGAAGTGTCTGCGATGGCCCGGCCGGTGTCGCTGCCGGAGCCATTCTCAGCTACCGCCGCTTCCTTTTCCTGAGCTGCAAATAACAGTGAGTCACCCGCGGGGACAGTGCCACCCCCGAGGGGGGACACCGCCATCCCTGACCTCCCCCGAGGGGGGACACCGCCATCCCTGGATCCCCCCGAGGGGACACTGCCACCCGCGCCCCCGAGTCGCCCGTGTCACCTTTGGGATGCTCCATCCCGGATCCCATCCCGAGGGCTCCTCGCAGCCTCCTGGGGCCCCACAGATCCCCTCCCATTCCCAAATTAACCCCTCCAATTAACCCTCGCCCTGATTAACCCATCCCCACACCGTGGGAATGCTGTTCCCAGTTCGGGGATGCCGTTCCCAGTTTGGGGGTGCCGTTCCCAGTTTGGGGATGCTGTTCCCAGTTCGGGGATGCCGTTCCCAGTTCGGGGATGCCGTTCCCAGTTCGGGGGTGCTGTTCCCAGTTCGGGGATGCCGTTCCCAGTTCGGGGGTGCTGTTCCCAGTTCGGGGATGCCGTTCCCAGTTCGGGGATGCCGTTCCCAGTTTGGGAATGCTGTTCCCAGTTCGGGAGGGCCGTTCCCAGTTCGGGGATGCCGTTCCCAGTTTGGGGTTGCTGTTCCCAGTTCGGGGATGCTGTTCCCAGTTCGGGGGTGCCGTTCCCAGTTTGGGGATGCCGTTCCCAGTTCGGGGGTGCCGTTCCCAGTTCGGGAGGGCCGTTCCCAGTTCGGGGATGCCGTTCCCAGTTCGGGGATGCCGTTCCCAGTTTGGGAATGCTGTTCCCAGTTCGGGAGGGCCGTTGCCAGTTCGGGGATGCCGTTCCCAGTTCGGGGATGCCGTTCCCAGTTCGGGAGGGCCGTTCCCAGTTCGGGAGGGCCGTTCCCAGTTCGGGGATGCCGTTCCCAGTTCAGGGATGCCGTTCCCAGTCCCCCTCCCCATGCCGAACCCTCGCAGGGCGGGGGGGCCGCTCTGGCCCCACCCAGGTTTGGGATTTGGGATCCTCCGCTGGGAGTGGCTCACGGGGACACCGGGATGTCACCTCTGTCCCCTCCCGGCGGCTCGGGGGGGATCCCCTGAGGGAACGGGGGGCTCGGGGAGGGGGCGGGACACTGGGATGTCGCCTCTGTCTCCTCCCGGCGGGTCGGGGGGCTCGGGGTGGGGGGGCCCGGATGCGTCGCTGCCCTTTGCACAGGATGCGGCCGCAGGAAAATCCAACTTTCCTGGAAACTCTCTTCAAAGTGCACCCAAGGATGCTGGGAAGCCACGGCAGAGCTGCTCCCGGTCCCTGTCCCTGTCCCTGCCTTCCCACGGGGGCTTCGTCCCCGCCTCACTCGGTGCCACCCGAGCTGTCCCCGTGTGCCACCCCCGTGCCACCCTCGGGGTCCCGCCCGGCACTCTCGGCGGGATCAGCGCTGCAATTCCCGCGCCAGGGGTGGGAATTTTGGGGCGGGAGGCAATTCCCGACAATTCTAATCAATTCCGGGCAATTCCAAACAATTCCAGGCAAAATCCAGGCAATTCCAGGAGCGCAGGACACCGAAATGGGATGGGGGGAATCGAATCCCGTGATTTTGGGGCGGGAGGAAATTCCAGGGATGCGCCGGGCACTGAAATGCGTTGCAAGGAATGGAATCCCACTTTTTTTCCCCCTCTCCACTCCAGGAGCAACAATCCCAGCAGAAGCTGCGCCCCGATCACCCGGCGGGATCAAATTCCCCGGAATTCCCGTGCCAGGAGTGGGAATTTTGGGTCAGGAGACAATTCCAGACAATCCCAGGGGCGCGCCAGGCACTGAAATTGGATGGAGGGAACGAAATCCCCTTTTTTTCCCCTCCACTCCAGGAACAACAACCCCAGGGCCCAGATTGCCCAGCGGGATTGAATTCCCTGCAATTCCCACGCCGGGAGTGGGAATTTTGGGGCAGGAGATAATTGCAGACAATCCCAGGGGCGCGCCAGGCACCGAAATGGGATAGAGGGAATGAAATTTCTTTTTTTTTTTTTCCTTTCCACACTTCAGGAACAACAAGCCCAGCAGAAGCTGTGCCCTGATAACCCGGCGGGTACCCGGGAGCATCCGGCACGGCAGGAAGGAGCCCGGCAGGAGGAAATATTAAATCCTGGGATATAAACACGGCGGCTGGAGCAGCCCCGCCCCGGCGCGGCCCCCCTGAAAAGCGCGGTCCCCGCGGGGTGGGGCGGCCAGAGCGGCGGCGAGGATGGAGAAGAGCAGCTTCGCCATGGCCAAGTTCGGGCTGGAGCACAAGGAGGCAATGCCGAAGCGCGACTGCGGTTTTTACCTCAAATACATTTTCCTTTTCACCTCGCTGATCCAATTCCTGATCATCCTGGGGCTCGTGCTCTTCATGGTGTACGGGAACGCCCAGGCGGGCACCGACACCCACCTGAGGCTGCTGGAGGAGCAGGTGCAGAGCCACTACCGCAGGATTGTCGCCCTGGGTGCCACCAACGCCAACCTGAGCCGCACGCTCAACGCCACCCTGAAGGACAGGGACAAGGTGCAGGGGATGGCGCTGAAGGCGCAGAGGGAGCTGGAGAAGTGTAACAGCAGCCAGGCCTCCAGCAGCATCCCGCAGGTGAGCCCGGGCTCCTGGAATCCCGCGGGAGGGTGGCACCGCCTGCGGGTGACGCTGCTGTCGCCTCCTCGTCCCTGCGGGTGGTGACAGCGAGGGGACCCCAGAAAGTGCCAGGGGGTTTTGGTCAAGGGGGTCCCAATCTTGGCGTTCTCTTCCTTCTCCTCCTCTTCCTCCCTGGAGCTCTCTCAGAGCCCCTGAAGTGGTGCCCGGGGATCCTTTTGGGATGATCTGACCCCTCTCCTCCTCTTCCTCCTCCTCCTCTTCCTCCCGTTGCCCTGGAGCTCTCCCAGAGCCCACGAGGAGATGCCGGGGGGTCCTTTTGGGATTCTCTGACCCTTCTCCTCCTCCTCCTCCTCCTCCTCCTCCTCCTCTTCCTCCCGTGCAGCTGCGGGAGCTCCTGTTCCAGCAGCTGAGGCTGAAAGAGTGCCAGGTGATCACCACCCTCATCAACAACACCTGCACGGGTAAGAGACACCCCCAGCCCCAAAAAACCCCTGGGGACCCCCAGCATCCCCTTCCTACTCCTTGGGGACCCCCAACTCTCCCTCCCCAACCTCCGGGGCACCCCCAGCACCCCCACATGACCAGCCCCAGGCCGAGGCGTCACCCCAAGCCATGGGGTGGCACCGGGGGGGACCCAAACCCCTGGATCCCAAATCCCCCAGAGCCAAACCCTGTCCCCCAACTCCCCCCAAGCTGAGAAGCTGCAGCTGCAGCGGCAGCTGGACCAGGCCAGCTTGTCCAAGAGAACCCTGGAGGGGAGCAGGCAGCAGAGCCAGGCCGAGCTGACCAAAGTGACCCGGGAGAAGGACAAGTGCCAGCAGGACCTGCAGAGTGCCAGGACCGAGGGCGACCTGAGCAGGATGGAGCTGGATGTGCACAAACATCGCTGCAGCTCCCTGCAGAGCGATGTGAGCGAGAAGATCCTGAGGGTTTTGGATCTGGCCAAGCAATACCAGTGCAAAGAGGCCGAGAAGGAGCTGGGGCAGATCCGGGAGCGCGTGGAGGAGCTGCTGCGGCGGCAGAAGGAGCGCGACTCGCTCTTTGTGTGGAGGAGCAGCTGCGAGCTGAGCGTGCAGCAGTGCCGCCACAACTGCTCCCGCGACACACAGGAGCTGCAGCAGAGGATCCAGGGGCTGGAGAAGCTCCAGAAGGACGGCGAGGAGGAGAGGAAGAGGCTGCAGGCGGACAAGGAGAAGGCGGGGAAGGAGCTGGAGGAGAAGAGGAAGGCGGCGGTGGCGATGGAGGAGTCGCTGCGGCAGCAGCTCGGGATCTGCATGGGGACCAAGGTGGGGACATGGGGCATTGGGGCATTGGGGACATGGGAACACGGGGACACGGGGCACTGGGGACATGGGGACACGGGGACATGGGAACACGGGACATTTGGGCACTGGGAACATGGGGACTCCCATGGGGACATGGGCACAGGCACCTCTGCACTGGGATTTTCCTTCCTGACACCAGGATTTTGTTTATGTGGGAATTTCCTGCTGGGGGCGGTGCCACCCCTGAGCACTGCCACCCCTGAGCAGCGCCCACTTTCCCCCCAGATGTCCCACCTGGACCTGCCGGGCTCGCGGGGGCCAGGCAGCGCCGCCCGCTCGAGCCCCTTCCCTGGCACGGGCACCTACATGGAGCTCCTGAAGAACCCGGCCACGCTGGGCACCATGGGTGAGTCCCGGGGGGACTGGGGACAGGTTGGGGAGTCACCATGTCCTCTGGTGCCCACCCCATCCCATGCATCCCATCCCAACCCCACAGATCCCATCCCATGGATCCCATCCCATCCCATCCCATCCCATCCCATGGCATGGATACCATCCCATGTATCCCATCCCAATCCCATGGATCCCATCCCAACCCCATGGATCCCATCCCGATCCCAGCAGGAATGCAGAACCCGGTGGAGCTCCAGCAGATGCTGCAGCTGATGGAGCAGTACACGGCCACCCTGAAGAACGCCAGGTGAGGGGACAGAGGTGACACCGGGCCACCCTCCCCGGGGCACCCAGTGCTCCTGGAGCTGCCCCCGACCTGATCCCACTTTTCCCACAGCGGATAATGCTGGAAAATCCCACGGAAAACCAGGAGAGCCGCCCAGGAGGTGCTTCCCGCAGCACGGATGGCAACCCCTGCCCCAGAGCCACCCTCCCTTTGTCCCCGTTTCCCCAAGCCCACCCCGCGTGTCCCCTCAGATGTATCCCTGCCTTTTGGCTGGAGCGGGACAACAGCCGGCCCCGAATCTGGGGACAACTTGCTGCTTTGTGTGGATGGAAATCCATGGAAAAACTGGGAATTTTGGGAGCGGGAATTCCGCACAGAGGGGTGGGAAATGCCCAAGGATGAGGGGCAGGGACGTCCTTGTCCCCCAAGGATGAAGGACGGCGGTGTACTTGTTCCCCGGCCCCGAATTTGGAGACAACTTGCCGCTTGTGTGGGTGGAAATCCATGGAAAAATTGGGAATTTTTGGAGCGGGAGTTCCATCCCAGCTCTGCAGAGAGGGGTGGGAAATGCACAAGGACGAGGCACAGGGATGTCCTTGTCCCCAGAGGATGCAGCACAGGGATGTCCTTGTCCCCAAAGGATGAGGGACCGTGCTGTCCTTGTCCCCCTGCCCCCCCCGGAGCGGAGCAGGGATTTATTCCCAGGATTTATTCCCGGGATTTACGGCTGCGTTTCCTGTGGAAAATCCTTTTCCTGCCCCGCCGCCCCTGCCCGCACGCCAGGCGCCACCGAGGCCTCCCAGAGTGTCCCTTGTCCCTTTCCCCATCCCAAGTGTCCCCCGAGCCGTGTCTGTGCTGGGAGAAGGGCACTGCCACCTCCTGCCACCCCTCCAAGGATGGCGATGCCACCTCCCCCCCCCACCTCCTGCCCAGCCCCAGGGTGGGACTGCGGTGACAAAGGTGACAAAGTCTCACTGTCCCTGAAGGTCCAGGGGGGCCTCAGGCACTGCCAGAGGATTTCCTGGAATTCCTCCATGGATAATCTCGGAGCACCAGGTGCTTCCCGAGCTCCCGGCTGGGTGGTGGCACAGGGGGCTGGCACAGGGGTGTCCCCAGGAGATGCCACCATTTTTGGGGTGGCAGAGCACCAGCAAGACCCCACATCTGCCACGGCTTGGGGGAATTCCGTGGATTGGGAGGGATCCCGGGGGTCCCAAACCCCCCACGCTAAATCCTTGGGGTCGGGGGGCACAGGGGTGTACCCCATGTCACACTGGGGATGGGAACACCCCAGACAGGGACACCGGGGGTGGCTTTTCTGCCCCTGCTCCTTGTCTGTCCCCCTGACCAGGAACTGGGACTTTTTCCGGGGGTTTTTCCCACATTTGGGGCTCAGGACACACTCCCAAGCACGGTCACCAGCGAGGGGACAACAGCAAAGCCACCAAAGGCACCACAGTTTAATCCCGGTGACACCCCACCCCACGGAGTGCCACCGTCACTTCCCGACACAAAAGTCCCTAAAAATGATATCCAGGACGTCCTCAGCGCCCACGTGCCCGGTGATCCTGCCCAGCTCCCGACGCGCCACCCGCAGCTGCTCGGCCGCCACCGCCAGGTCCCCGCTGTCCCCAAGGTCCCCAAAGCGCTCCAGGGCCGCCGCGCACGCCCCGAGGTGGCGGCTGTGCCTGCTCTGAGTCAGGCTGGGAGAGCCCAGGAGGGGATCCCCGCACCTGGAAAAGGGATTGGGAACAGCATTGGGAATGGGGATTGGAAACGGGAATGGGGATTGGGAACAGGATCGGGAAAGGGATTGGGAATGGGGATTGGGAATGGGGATTGGAAACGGGAATGGGGATTGGGAAAGGGATTGTGAATGGGGATTGGGAATGGGAAAGGGAAAGGGATTGGGAATGGGAATTGGGAAAGGGATTGTGAATGGGGATTGGGAATGGGGATTGGGAATGGGAATGGGGATTGGGAATGGGGATCGGGAATGGGGATTGGGAATGGGAAGGGGAAAGGGAAAGGGATTGGGAATGGGGATTGGGAATGGGGATTGGAAACGGGAAAGGGATCAGGAATGGGAAAGGGATTGAGAAAGGGATTGGAAACGGGAATGGAAAAGGGGATCGGGAATGGGGAAGGGGATGGGAAACGGGAAAGGGATCGGGCATGGAAAGGGGATCAGGAATGTAAAACCAGATCGGAAATGGGAAAGGGGATTGGGCAGGGAAATGGGATAAGGAATGGGAAAGGGATTGGGCATGGGAAAGGGATCAGGCATGGAAAGGACACAGGGCATGGGAAAGGGGATCAGGAATGGAAAAGGGGATTAGCCAGAGAAAGGGGAACCAGCCAGGGAAAGGGGGATCAGCCAGCCCCAAAAACCAGGATGAGGGTTTGGGATCCCCCCGGACTCACAGCTGTGCCAGCTGCTGTGTCAGCAGCTCCAGCAGCGCCTCCAGCCCCTCGCCCGTCTTGCAGGACAGCAGGGTGGCAGGGGGTCCCTGTCCCTGGGCACCAGTGGCACTCGGGGGCCCCCTGTGCCCCCCCAGCAGGTCAGCCTTGTTGAGCACCAGCACGCAGGGGGTGCCCGGGGGCGGCTCCAGCGCCGCCAGCGCCGCCCCCAGAGCCACCGGCGTGGGTGACACCGAGGTGGCATCCAGCACTGCCAGCACCAGGTCAGCCTGGCACAACCTGGGGACACACACAGAGCGATGTCACCTTCTGGCTGAGCTGTGGGGACCCCCCCAAAGCCTCCCCAAGGTCCCCAGAGCTCACCGGTCGCGTGCCCGGGCCACCCCCTCGCGCTCCACGGGGTCGGTGGCCTGGCGCAGCCCCGCGGTGTCACTGAGCACCAGCGGGTACCCCCCGATGTCCAGGGCCACCTCCAGCACGTCCCGCGTGGTGCCCACCGTGGGGGACACGATGGCGGCCGGGCGCCGACCTGGGGACAGCGGGAAAGCTCCAGGGGGATCTGGGAATGGTCCCAACCCCTCCGCGCCCGTGGGTGACACGATGGCCCGGGCACAGTGGGAATGGCTCCCTCTGGAGGTCCGGAACGCTCCCTTTTCCCCGAGCCCCACTCACAGAGCAGGTTGAGCAGGCTGCTCTTGCCCACGTTGGGGGGGCCGGTGATGACGGCCCGGACCCCCTCCCGCAGCAGCTCCCCCCGGCGCCCGTCCCGCAGATGGCCCCGGAGCTCCTGCAGCAGCGCCCGCACGGTGACACGAACTGCGGGGACACGGAAGGGTCAGCCCGGCTGGGGACACGGCGGGGACACGGCAGGGACAGCCCGGCTGGGGACAGCGGGGCCCGAGCCCCAGACTGGGGAAAAACACCAGGAGAGACCCCAGGTCCTAAGCCTGAAATCTGGGACAAAACACTGGAACAGACCCCGAGTCCTGACCCGTAAATTTGGGATAAAAAAACGGGGCAGAAGACCCCATGTCCCAGTCATGGGGACAAACAAGGACCTGGAGTGGCTGGATGGGACAAGCCCCCTCTTGTCCCCATCCCCAGTGTGCCACCATGGGGACACAGCCATGACATGGGGACAGCAGGGGCTCACCTTGGGTCAGAACCTCTTCCTCCACGTTGTCATCCTCGCTGAAGTCGATGTAGGCCTCCAGGTGGGCGAGTGCCTGCCATTGGGGTGGGAGTCAGCCCCGAGCTGCCGGCCACCGGGGAGGGCTCGGTGGCCACTGGGGAGGGCTGGGCGGCCCCGCAGGTGAGCCCCACCTGGGTGAGAGCGTGGCTCCAGCGCTGGTAGAGCCGGCCCAGGTCGCCCTCCATCTGCCGGAGCGCCTGGCGCCGCTGCGCCTCCGTCTCGGCCCCGATGAGGTCCCGCAGCCCCTCGGCCGCCGTCAGGTCCAGCTTGCCGTGGGCAAACGCCCGGCGGGTGAACTCGCCCGGCTCGGCCGGACGCAGCCCCGGCAAACGGCCTGGGGGGACACCGGGCACGGCGGGATGGAGGGGGGCCCGGGAAATGGGGTGGGGGGAGCAGGAGGAACCTCCGGGATCCCAAAGGAAAGGGGCAAGGGTACAGGGGGAAATGGGACACGGGAGGATCAGGCTGAATCCTTGGGCTCCCAGAGCGAAGGGGGAGGAGGGACGGGGAGGATCACCCGGCATCCCAAGGGGAAGCGGGAAAGGATCAGAGGGCTGGGAAAGGGGCAGGAGAGATGGCACAGGATCGGGAAGGGCTGGAACAGGGTCAGGATGGGATCAGGCTCACCCAGGGCCCGCAGCACCCCGCTGACCACGGCGGGCCCCCCGTGCACGTGCAGCTCGGCGCAGTCCTCCCCGGTGAAGCTGTGCGGCCCTGCGGGCACACGGGGCTGGGTGGGCACCCTGGCTGCCAACCCCCGCCCCTAAACCCCAGTTCATGCCCCCCGACCCCTACCCCGTGTCCCCAACCCCACATCTGTGTCCCCAAACCCCATTTCATACCCCCTGACCCCAGCCCCATGTTCCCAGACCTATGTCCCCACCTGGGAACCACACCACGAGCCCCCTGTCCAGGCTCTCGGCGGTCTGGGGGTCCCGGATGCGCCGCAGGGCCATGACCCGGGGCGGGGGCTCGGGGGTCCCGGTGAGGCTGCGCAGGGCGGCCCCGCTGCCCGGCCCGCTGGCCCGGATCACGGCCACGCCGCAGCGCCCCGGCGCCGAGGACAGCGCGAAGATGGTGTCACCTGTGCCCCGGGTGGCGCCTGTGCCCGCCGCGGGTGGCACCGCCGAGCTCAGTGCCCGCGCACACCTGGGGGATGGGGGGGCATTATGGGCACGCCCGGTGGGCACGGAGGGGGCGCGACCCCCGTGTCCCCGGCCCCGTGGGGATGAGACCCCTCCCCAGGTGTGTGCTGACCTCAGGTGTTCCCTCCCCAGGTAAGACCCCTCCCCATGGACCCCCTCTTCCAGGTGAGACCCCACCCCAGGTGGGACCCTTCTGCACGTGTGCCCCCTCCCCAGGTACCCCCAAACCCCGGCTCACCCACTCCCGTACCCGCGCACCCCACAGGCACCAGCGGTGTCCTCCCTGTCCCCGTGTCCCCTCCGTGTCCCCTCTGTCCCTCTGACCCCCCCGTCCCCTCACCTGCCCCTCGCCGCCCTCATGGCCCCGCTCAGCGCCATCGCTGCCCTCCCCGCGCCCGCCTGGCCCCGCCCACCGTCGCACGCCATTGGTCAAACCTACCGAGGGGGCTTAGTCATAACGGTAATTCTGCTTCTGATTGGTTAATAACTTGCAAAGCCGCCAAACCGGCCTCAGCGCCCCCGCCCATTAACGCACGCTATTGGTCAAAACATATTGAGAGGCGGGGCTAACGGTGAAACACGGCTTCTGATTGGTTAAAACGCAAAGATCACGGCACGCTGGTGAAGCCGCGCGAACCCCGCGGTTCCGCCCGGTCCCAGTGACAAACATTATTTAAAATCTTATAAGATTTGATATCTATTTATATTGAGAGAAAATCTAAAAATTTATAAATTTTATTAAGAGATAAAATCCGGCGCTGGGGTGCTTGGCTATTTGCTTGATATTTCTATTTTTATATTTTTAATTAATTAATTTTTATTTCTATTTATTGATATGAATATGCAGGTACGCCCTGTAAAGGATCAGTCTGTAGAGAACATGTTTTAAGTTAAATTAATATAAACATAAATATAAACATAAACATAAATAGAAATAGAAATAGAAATATATTGAATATATAGTTTTGTGCAAATAAATAATATATATTTAATATATTTTTATGTATATAAATAATATATATTTAATATAGTATAGTAGTGGTTTTGTATTAAATATATATAATTTTTATATAAATATAAAAAAATATAAAATATATGTATATTTATTTAACTTAAACCATATTTTCTATAGACTCCATTACAGAGGCTCATGCAGATTTATAAGAGTTTATCTTAAAATAGTTCTTTGCATTTAGACATTTTTTTGCTTGGTTTTAACCTTTGACTTGTCTTCTCGCCATCTTGTAGATTAAACCAATATATTTTACTTCTTCTTGTGGTTAAATAATGATAACGATAATGATAATGGTAATGATAATGATAATGGTAATTATAATAATAATTTAGATAGTGTATATTTTATTATTTATATTATTATTAATTAGATATTATTGTTACTGTTGTTAATTAGATATCATCATCATCACCATCATTATTATTACTATTATTAGTCCTGTCGCTATTCCAATTCCCAAAATCTGGGCTTGTCTTCCAGGGGGAGGATGGACTGGGATGGACTGGGATGGACTGGGATGGACTGGGACAGCCCGCACGGCCCCGGTGACCCCGTGCCCCCCCATTCCCGGGCCTGGCAGCGGCTCCCGCCCCACCCCCCCCGTGCCAGCCGAGGTGACAGCTCGGGGACATCTCCCGGTGGCACCGGGCAGCCGGGCTGGCACCGGGCCCGAGTCCCGCATCCCGGGGGGCTCCGAGCGGCCAGGCTGGGAGGGACCCCCGGTTTGGAGTGGCTTTGGGGGGGCTCTGGGGGCTTTGTGGGACTTTGGGGGATCCCCCGCGCTGGGGCGGCCGCTCTGGGGGAGGGGGGGTCACCCCAAATGTCACCGGGCAGCGCTCACCCCGCTCGAGTTACCGGGAGCCGCCTCACCGGGCGGGGGGGCACTGAGGGGGCACGGGGGGGCACCGGGGGCACGGGGCGGTGGCGCTTGGGGACACCGCTGGGGACAGCCGAGCACGGCGGGGGGGGCGATGTGGGGAGGTGAGGGGGGGACACCTCGGGGCACACCGGGGACACCGCGGGGGGGCCACCGGTGCCGCCCCCGTGCCGAGCCGCCCCCCGCGCTCCCCCCGGGCCCCCCCCGCGGGGCGCGGCCGGACACGCGTGGCCGGGAGCCGCGGCCAACCGGAGCGTACCGGGAGCGGCGGCGGCTCCGCGCTCCGCTCCGCCGCGGCCGCCTTTGTCCCTCCTCCCGGCCGCAGCGGCGGCGGCAGCGGCGGCCCCGGCGGCCCCGGCGGCCCCATGCACCGGCCCCGCCGCCGCCGCCGAGCCCCGCACCATGCCCGAAGCGGCGGCGGCCGCGGCGCAGGACGGAGAGCGGCCCCGGAGGGGCCCGGCCGCGGAGGAGCGAGCGGAACCGGCGGCGCCCACCGGCGTGCTGGGTACGGGGAACCGGGGGGTGCGGGAGGGGCACGGGGAGGGCCGGGATGCGGCTCGCTGCGGATGCGGGCCGGGAGGCGGTGGGGGGGTCGGGGCTGCCGGTACCGGAGCTCTGAGCGTCCCCCCGGTACCGGCGCGGTCCCGAGCCCCCCCGCCCGGGCGGGTCCCGCCTCATTGCGGGGGGTTCTGTGGCTCTCGGAGGGGTTTTTGTCACCTTTCCCCCCATTCCGGACAGCCCCGAGCCCCCCGGATGGCGCCGGCAGCCGACGCCGTGTCCCCCCCCCCCACCGGCGACACCCCCCGTGGCCCCCCCACCCCGGGAAGGCGTTTTGCCCCCGCCACCCCCCCCTTGCCAGGCCCGTGCTCCCCCCAGCAGGACAGGGGGGTGGCGCAGCTCGCAGCCTTTGTGTCGCTGTCCCCACGCCGGCCTTGGGGTCCCCTCCCCCGCGTGGCGCGGTGCCAGGTGACATCCCCGGATCGGGGTGCCCGGGGCGGGGGGGGGCTGGCAGGGCCCGGCGGCAGCTGCGGCACCGAGCGGGGCTCCTGCCGGCGGTGGGTGACCCACTTCGTGCCCCCCGGGACGCCGCTCGGTGCCCGCCACGCCGCAGCTCCGGTGACCTTAGCCCGGGAGCCAAGGTGAGCGGCACGGCCGGCGACAAACGGGGACAAGCGGGGGGACCCGGGGGGTGGCACACGGCGCGCCGGCCCGGCCGAGCCCTCGGGGCCACCTCGGTGGTGGCACCGCGTGTCGGGAGGGGCCGCGGGGACAGCGGGGTGAGGGTGGCGGTCGCCCCCCAAGCCCAGCCTGCCTGGGGGTGCTGGGGACCCCCCTTTTCCATGAGCTTGGGCACGGAAAGCCCCCCGGGCCTGGGTCTGTGCCCCCGGGGTGGGCAGTGCCCCACGCGGGTGGCAGCGGCCCCGCAGCCGCCGCCCGCGCCGGGTGGCACCGCTGCGGGCAGGACATAAATAATGCAGGGTGGGTGAGCTCAGCCCGCCGGCGTCACCCGGCTGCCCGGCCAGGGTGGCACGGCCACCGCCGCCAGTGCCCCGTGCCCACCGGGCACACTGGTAGCCCCGCAGCCTGATATCCCCATGGCCTGGCACCCTAAAACACGGGCACCCTAAAACACTGGCACCCTGAGAGTCTGGCACCCCAATACCCCAACACCCAGCTACCTCTGCACCTCACCACCTGTACCCCAACACCCTGGTACCCCAACATCCCCAAAGCCTGACACCCCAACACCCTGGTACCCCAATACCTCAGCCCCCCAGCACCCCTGTATCCTGATACCCCAACACCCTGGCACTCGAGCACCCCCGCACCCCAGTACCCTTGACACCCTGGCATCCCATCCCTGTCACCCCAAGAGCCCAGCACAGTAACACCCTGGTACCCCTGCACCCAGAAACATCAACCACCTGGCACCCCAACACCCAGACACCCCAACACCCAGACACCCCAACACCCAAACAGCCTGGCACCTCAAAAACCTGGCACCCCAACACCTCAGCACCTTGGCACCCAATAACTTGATACCCTGGCATCCCAACACCCCAACAACCCAGTACCCTGATACCCCCAGCACCCCGATACCCCAACATCCCCACACCCGGGCACCCCAGCCCCCCAACGCCCCGGCACCCCAATACCCGAGCACCCCTAAACCTCAATCGCCCAGCAGCCTGGCACCCCATTGCCCCACGGCCTGGCACCCCATTACCCCCAAACCCTGGAACCCCCTTACCCCCACGGCCTGGCACTCCCGCACCCCAGGACAGGACACGGCCGTGCCCAGCCTGCCGGACCGGTGCCACAGCGGGGGTGGCAGCCTGGCGCTGTCCTCAAGTGCCACCCTCGGCTCGGGGACAGCGGAGCCTTTCAGAGCCCGTCAGGGCCCGGGGTTTGGGGGGTCCCACAGAGGTTCCCGGGTTTGGGGGTCCCACAGAGGTGCCCGGGTTTGGGGGGGGGGGCCCAGCAGTGGTGCCCGGGTTTGGGGGGGTCCCACAGAGGTGCCCGGTTTTGGGGTGCCTTCCGGGCATCATCAGCTCTGGCATTTCCTGTTTTCCCGGGCGGTTTCCGGCACCCCGAGCCCTTCCCAGCCCCGGGGCGCCGCCACATCCCGGGCCGAGGAGGGGACACTGAGGCGCGAGGGGACACAGGCAGGGAAGCGACAAGCGGGGTCCCCACCGTCTCCCTCTCTCCCTGCCAGCGCCGGGTGGATTTTTTGGGATCCCTCCCCGTCCCCGCCCTCCCCGGGCGGCGCTTTGGGGACACCGGGCACGGGGACAGCGGGGCGGGGCAGCGGCCGTGTCCCCTCGGTGCCACCGCACCCGGGGGTGCTTTGGGGACCGTCCCCACCGCAGCCCGGCGCGGCGGCGCGGTTTCCATGGAGACCGGCTGCTTTTCCCCATCCCCGTTTTTCCTGCGCTTTTCCGTGCCCGCGCTCCGGGAGGAGGTGAGAGCCCTTGGGGACGCTCCGAGGGGACACCCCGCGACATTGGGCACCGCCGGGGGTGGCGGGGCGCGCTGGCGGCTCCTCCCCGCAGCTGTCGGGGCCGATTTTGGGAGCTGCCGCAGGAGAAACCCGATGCCAGGGCGGTGGCAGCGCCGTGCCCCGTGCCGCGGCCGGGCTGGGGACAGGCGGGGACGCGTCCCGGTGCCAGCCCGGGGCTCCGGGGCGCTCTGGGATCCGCCGCCCGCGGGGGTTGATCCCTGCCCGGCCTCCCCCCGCAGATAAACTCTTCGGGAAGCGGCTGCTCCAGGCCGGGCGCTACATCATGTCCCACAAGGCCTGGATGAAAACGGTGCCCACGGAGAACTGCGACGTGCTGATGACATTCCCGGGTAGGAACGGGCCGGGAAACCGGGGAAACCGGGATAGGGGCGGGGTGGGACCGGGAAAACTGGGATCGGGATGTGGCCAGGAAAACCGGGATTGGGGTGGGGCCGGGAAAACCGGGATCGGGATGTGATCGGGAAAACCAG